ATGAGTTAGTGTTTCAAATTAATAATTAACAGCTGTAGCATAATTAATATTTTCCGCTGTAGAAATTTTATGTGTTTACTTTTGATAATCTGATGTATTTAATACTAATAAATTAAAATTTCAAAATTGCCATCTGCGTTTGTAATGGTGTTCCTGAGGTATTATGTCAGTACTGTATGCACATATATGCATTAGTCTGGACTGCAACCGCATAATCTTTTTGTGAATTAGGGTTTTTATACCGTATCCTATGCGGGCCCGGCAGTATAGCGCATTGTGCTAACGCTCTTCTACGCACCTCCGATTGATTACCCTGCGTGGGTTGAATCCTGTGGTTGATTATTATGTGCGAGAGAATCACTGGACTCCTCGGCGCCATAGGGTGGCTCTCATAACCACTTGTTGGTTACGGATTCTACCGCTATCAAGTCTATTTAAACAAAATATATGACTAGATAATGCAACCCAACGCCTGATTGGTAACAGGAGAGTCCTAGGTTCACTTATAATCAAATCTTCTTATCGACCCTACTGTCCCCCGAGATAATTATTTAAATCAGGCAACCTTTTTCGCAGGAGAGTCAAATACAAATACTTCTGTGAAACTGCGGGCAACGCTTTTATCAAACATAGGTATTCAAGTAGATGCAGACACAAAATATTTTTTATTATGAACGTGCTGCCCACGTTAATAATGCTAAACAGTTCGAAATTTACATTTTTGATATTTTAATGACACATTGAATTTTCATCTTTTAGTGGGCATATTCGATAACAAAAACAAACACGCATTTATTCAGATGAACCCCACTCAACATTGTGATGGGCGCGACTGCTTTTTGCCGCGCAGCAAGTCCAGTTGTAGCCGGCTGTTTGTTAATGCAGGCCACAATTATAATTAATTACGATGTTTGGCAACTGACGGCATTGTTACTCACTCTTAATGATCAAATTTGGCGTGAGGCAGCGGTTCGTGTGGCATTAACGATCACAAAATTGGGACCAAGTATGAGCACTAAGATGTCGCACAACCTGAACCCTAACCTGAGTTCAGGTTGTGCGCCATCTTGGTGCGCATACTTGGTCCCCATTTTGTGATCGTTTACGTGTACTTTATGCCTTTAAAGTTTATAAACATGTAGGTCTAAAAAATGAAGATAAAAAGTTAACTCCTCTTCCTTATCACTGCCTGGTTTTACTTTAAAATGGTAAGCAAAATCACACATAAACTGCAGCAAACGAAATTGCAGCAAGGGTTTACATCTACTGTTACGTAACAATATACGCGGTGAACAAAGGTAAAATGAAGTTATTGATTCATATACACATCGTTTGAATCATATAAAAAAGAAAACATTCAGAATAAACTATGTAAAATGTTTAATCATATATTAGTTAATATTCAACACAACTCTCTTAATTTTCAAGGCGCACTTATTGCAATTCGTTTTCGGGGACCAATGACTTAATAATTCTCGATAATTTTTTTTAATTTTTTAGAATCAATAATATCAACGACATACACAGAGAAAGAATAGCTTGCGTACAGACCAATAAAAATATATTTTGGATTCGATAAAAATAAAATGAAATAAATATCTTGTTTTGTTTTATGGAGAGTATTTCGGTTAGCCAAATACAATAGCCTACTGTTGTTAAGGATGATACAAGGAAATCATTTATTGAGAGATTTTTAGAGAAGAATTGACTGAAAATCCAACCTCAATGGATCTTAAAATATCATTGTTGATCATGATTACGCCTTACTCACTGTGATTCAAAGGGTTTGAGCGAATCCGTTCTTGAAATGTTGTGATAATTAGCGAACTCGTTCTCGTTTTTTTTAGATTGGCACGGATTTATGAACTAGTTCGATGCAAAATTGTACCTTTTTTCAAAATATTTCCAGTTTGTGCGAAAAAGCATTAATGATTGAAGCCGACATTGTTACGCAAGCACGCGCAAATCTTGTTTACGATCAGAATAGGTATATAGGTAACAGAATATAAGCCCTCCCATAAATAAAATGTATAAGACCAAGTTTATAGCGCTATTTTTTTTTAAGTAGTTCATAGAAAAATCTTTCCTACTCATTTCAAATGAATAAGAATCTATGTTTAGCAGATATTTTAAATAAAAACGTGTTATTTATAAGTAAATGAAAATCGGTTTCCATATTTTGTATATTTCAAAATCTCGTGATTCTCTACTTTGTAATTTTGATTTTCAAAAATGAAAATAAAATAAATCCCCCCAAAATAAGTCCCAGTGTTATTTAGTGAAACAAAATTGAAGACAAGTCTTCTTTTCAACAAAAAAAAACGGTATAATGATGTATTCACTAGAGGAATCGTGGGATTTTGATTTAAAACTAGTTTTAGGTGTTTCGAACCGAGTCTACAAATACACCTAAATAGATATAGTACCCGTATAGAATTCGTGTTTACGGCCCCTAAAATTGCTCTTTGCGGCACTAAAATACGTTTTGCGGGGTCGCGGCCCCTAGTATGGGAAGCCCTGGGTTATAGCACTGTATTTTACCGTATTTCAATGCTTTCAGAAAACAAATAAGTGAATGAATAATCCATACCCGACATTGACTGAATATGGTTCGCCATATGATTAAATCGTCTTATCGACTTTCCTCTCTCCTGGGATAAATATGTAATTTATACCTCGGTCCAATTTCGGCGTTTTCATGAAATCCGCGCCTTATATGACATCCGGTTACATTAGTGTGTGATTCTGTTAGTGGTAGATTTTTTAGGTGTCTTCTTGCAGAATTGGGTGCTGGGAATTGGCGACCAGAGTACGGTGCCAGCAGTTTGACAAGTAAATTGTATGGTGAACTGGCGTGTGCGACATAGGATTTAGCCGTCTTAACTCACCCCTTCCCGGGATAAATATGTAAATCTTATCCTGACACTGAATGAAAGAAGCCTTAAAATAAGCTTCAAATTCTTGTTTTATTGCATTGGTTGAATTTATTGCATGGCGCGGCGGTGTGGCTCAACGGGCTAAGCGTTAGAAATACGCTCGCCACCGCACCTCTAATTACTCTGCGTGGGTTCGCAGGTTCGAATCCATTGCAGGGATGGTTATGTGCGAGAGGATTGCTGGACTCCTCGCCGTCGTTGGGTGGTTCACGTAACCGCTGGTCGGTTACGGCTTCCTCCACCACCAAGTCCATGCTTCCGAGAAAAAAAAAAACAATACAGTAAAAAACTAATCCCATACCCGACTTGGAATGGTAACCGGACGAGAGGCCGTGGTTTGCCATATGGATAAGCCGTCTTATCGGCTTTCCTCTCCCCCGGGATAAATATGTAAATCCTATCCTATTTCACAAATACCGGTACGGTACTTCAAGACAATGGAAATAGTGAAAAACCATTATAGCCTGGGCGGGTCTCATGTAGTTTCGTACCTAACATTCTTCTGGTGGGCGCAGAGTAACAATATTTGCATGTGACAATCCTAACCCCCACCAGACTATGCCATCCAAAAATTTCGTCTCTACGACGTCACAGTGACATAAGATAAAGATAAGATTTACATAGCCTATTTATCAGGGGGGGAGAGGAAATACGATTTGACAGCTCAACCATAATGGCAAACCATGGACTTGATGGTGGAGGAAGTCGTAACTAGCCAGCGGTGACGTGAACCACCCTACGGCGACGAGGAGTCTAGCAATCCTCTTGCACATAACCATCCCGCATAGGATTCGAACCTGCGAACCCATGCAGAGTAATTAGAGGTGCGTTGGCGAGCGTATTCCTGACGCTTAGCACGATGAACCACACCGCCGTGTTCTCACACAGTAAGAAATCATCAACAGTCAGAATTAATAAAAAAGCTCCAATATGGAAAAATTTTTTCATACTGGATTTACTTCAACCTTTGGCAGACAAAAAAAAGATGCTCTGCCCTACAGATTAGGGCTAGGTCATACACTCCAGAACCCTACAAGTCCAGCTATTAATCATCTTGCAAATAATTATGCCCCACAGGATAGGGTATTAGACACGAGCGTGTTTGAAATACCACTGAAGCTGCAAAATACACCACTATGCCTGAACTTAACCTTACTACGGCAAGTTTCATGTGTTTGCTACTGTAAATATATATGCAGACATTAGCTCAAATTCTGATTTTTTTTGTAACCCATTTCGACTTAACCAAGCCTAAATATTTTGAAGTATTTTCTTGACCAGATTTTAAAAGCCAGTAGTGGTAAGGGTGCCTGCATATCTATTGAGTGTAAAAATATGCCAACTTTCGCTAAAAAAAGGTACTCCAGGTCTCCAGGGATATATGTACCAGGTTAGGCCATAATTTTATTACTGTTTTTCCTATATGAATTCGGGACAGTCCGTGTTGGTCAAGTGAATACACCCCCGTCCCATAGATTTCAGTCCCTTCACACAACTTTATGTAAAGTAGGCGAACAAGATTAGTTACCTCCATATATTGGTACATACACTTTTGGAGCGCCAAAAATAAAACGAGTAACTATTGTTTTGGTCTATAACTGCCCAGCACTTAGAGTTGAATCTTGAGTTCACAGCGCTGTTTTCTTTCTCTTATACAGGTAAGGGAGAGTGGCAGATGTCACACTATTTAGTAGCACAACTAGCTACTCCTTAGAAGGATATTACACTGCCAGAGAACTTACAGTATTAAGGGTACTCCCAAAGTATATGAACAAGGATAGGCCATAATTTTTCTCCAATTTTCCCTACTTTAGTTCTATTACTAGTTCAGGGACTAGCAAAGTGATTCCCGTAGCATTCGTATGGGATTATGCCCTAACCCCAAACCTGGTACACATACTATGTTCCGGTGTCCGCCATCTTGGTTCACATACTTCAGAGTGCCTTATTTAAGTAATAAACAAAAAAAATCAACTTTCCACCTCAAAAAAGAACCCACAGATTAAGAAAAGCTGCAAATCCCAAATATCGAATGTGAAGCACAGTATGAAATGACCACAAAACTCGTGATTTATCATTAATTTATTTCAATCAAGCTTCGTCAACAATGACATGGGTTTTCTGTGAAACGTAAATTCCATCCAAGAACTTTCGGATATCCTTGTTTTTCACTGAAGTAGATTGCTGTACGAGAGCAGCTGACTGTGATACCATCTCGATATCGTTTCCCTCGATAATCAATTCGTCCTTCTGCTTGGCGGATGCGGATATTTTGACACCATCACGCATAGCGACCTAAAAACATGCAATTGTTTGTTATTAATGCTTAAGTTATTGCTAAACCGTACTAAGGTTGTAGTCTGGCCACACAGGCTATAGCTCATGAGGCTGCAGGCTATAGCAAAAATATGGCCTTTGCATTTTTAGTATGTGTACCAGGTTAAGGTTAGGCCATAATTTTATTCCAATTTTATTTATTTTCGATCTATTACGAGTTTGGGGACTAGCCAAGTGACTCTCGTGGTACTTGTACTTGAAATTATGGCCCAACCCTAAGATGGTACACATACTATGTTATGAATTTTATTCCAATTTCCCATATTCCTGTTCCATTACGAGTTCGGGGGCCAGCCAAGTGACTCCTGTAGTATTTGTACCTGAAATATAACCTGGTACTACATGTCCGCCATCTTGGTTCACAAACTTCGGGAGTACCTTTTTTCAAATATACCCATGTTACGTAAGTGTTTTTTATCAGTATGTCATATTGCACATGTTCAGTTCAGACATTTATAATGCACATAGATATTTTCACGATAAACTAGTTCATCATTACATGTGCAAAAACATACATAACCCATGGCTGTTGATTTTGTTCAAAGTATCTCACAACAGCTACTGTTGACTCCCAGTTTGGCGTGTTTCCACTAGTGTGTGAGCCAGTGTCTCATTTTTAAATTCCTGCATGAATGAACTGCAGGCTTTTTGGCACGCCAAAAGTATGTGAACCAGAAGTGGCGAGCGTATTCCTAACGCTTAGCGCCACACTTCCTAGCATAGACATTGAAGTGTACATATGAATGGTTTTGCTGAATATTCGGTACTCCCAGTATGATACCCGGTTAGGGTTAGACCATAATTTTATTTAGATTTCCCATAATTTAGTTCTATTAAGAGTTCGGGGACTTTCTTTGTCAGCCAAGTGAATATACTCCTTGCCCATAGGCTTCAGTCCTTTTACACAACTTTAGATAAAAGAGGGTGAACATAATTCGTTACCACCATATTGGTACACACAGTTTCGGAGCGCCAAATATTCTTAGTTATTGGGGAAACTTCAAATTTTCAACAGCATTCCATTCTTTTTCAAAGTCCTGTGAGATCGGACATTTCACCCAATCATTTAAATCTAATGGGAACACTAATATAAATAAAACAAGATTTGAAACTTTAGTTTGTTTATGCTATCAATAAAGATTATTTTGGAAATAAACGAAATTACTGCCTAGTTGGATTAAAATTGATTGGAAATTCTGATCAACAAAACGATATGGACTGGTTCACCACCTTTTATGGCTTGTGGTCCACATCTGGTGGCTTTTAGCAACCATGAACCCCTGTTTATCATTTCAGAGGTATTTATTGTGTATTTTGATTGGCAGATTCAAAATCCTATTATTTTAAAAGGAAATTCATGCTCAACAAAGTGAAAGCACCCTGTGAAATATCCTTATAGAGCAATGAAAATGGAAAAAACGGAGTTTTTTGTAAAAGAAGTGAAAATCTTTTTTGCGCTAATCATTGTGGCAACTGCTCTGGGAACGGCTACTGTGTAGATTTGTACCAACACAAGTGTGAGAGCCTTTGCACCAAGCAAGACCAGCAGTCACTCATCACATGAAGATAATAGGCTCAAAAAACTGCATTCAAGAAGTCTTCAATAAACGACTCAAACAACCCTCAATTCGGAAGCCACTGGTAGGTGAGGAGCTAAAATACTTTAGAGCGGTGGCTCTCAAACAGTGGGGGCGTAGACGATTTTTTGAGGGGGCGTAAAGCTAATTAAAAATAATTTGTTAGATTTGGTCTTGCCTGCTTTATTTTGGATATTTACATTTCTTTCATTATTCAAGTTCCATCCAAGTATTTTCAGCTGTTTTTTGAATAAAACATACTTTGGCCTCACTATCTGTTATTTGTCACTTATTATTAGCTACGGTACTTATTTTTGAGGTGGGGTGTGAAACAAATCCTAAAAAAGGAGGCAGGACTTGAACAGTTCGAGAGCCACTGCCTCAGAAGAACCGGAAACTTCAGTTCGACTTTACAAACCCCAATTATTACACCCTGGATGAGCTGCGGACAATAAAAAAGGTGACCCCACAATAGCATCTGTCGTATTCTCAAACTGCCTGGAGTCAGAAATTGGAATTTGCAAAAGTTGGGTTTTTGGACTATTTAACCCTTTCCATGCGATTTTTATTTTTTGATAAATAATCGTATTTGCTACGCCGATTTTATGCATTTGTACCCCCACAACACCTCTGCTGCCCACTGACGGCTCGTTGGAAAGCTTATTTAAAGAGCTTGCAATTGGCGATTAAAAAAAAAAGTTTTTTCAAAAGTGGTGGTCTGAGTCACAAACCGGATAGAAAAAAGGCATTTTTTTTTCTTGGAAGTTGAAACTTCAAACGGTGATAAAAAATAGAAATATTCGCTAAATCCTTTACTGTTACCGCTTTGTGATTGGCAAACAATAGCATAATATTGCTGTAGCAATTTCGTGATCCAACTCAAAATACTTTGGTAGATGGAAGGGATAATATGTCTTCTATTACCACCCAAAAAACACTGAAATTTGCATAAATTTCAAAAACACTCCCTCGTTCCGCCGCAAATAAAATTCCTGTCGTTAACGAAAGCGAGATTTACCGTCGCTTATGTTAATCTCGAAGAAGACTTCTTATCAATAAACTAAAACCCGGAAAAACTAGACCAACAGTTTGCGACCGATTGCTAAATAAAACAGTGGAGTACATCAACGTACCCGCCGCAATCTAGCGACTTTTGTCGTGGGTACGTATACGTGCCCATCGCACGGAAAGGGTTAAAGCCAAATTCTTCCAATGTTGATAACAAATTAAGTTGTCTGTGACCAAGAGCTCTTGAAGGACTACTAAAGTTTACACTGTTAAAATGTGATACGAAAACCTTAGATAGGCGATCCCAGCATATCTAATGAGTGATTCAACAGTACTGACTGAACAATACCTGACTTATGATGTGAATGTTAAAAAAAATTCATTTATGTTGGCGCAGCAAGACTATTGGATCAGTTATTGTTGCTACAGCATCCTTGCCCATACAGACTGCCAGCGCAAAAGCATAGAAGGGGGTATATGGTTGGTCCCAATCGATAGTATATCTAGTAATGGTGTTCCCGAAGTATGTGCACCAAGATGGCAGACAGCGGATCATAGTATGTGTACCAGGTTAGGTAAGTCCATGATTTTATTCTAATTATATTTATTTTCGGTCTATTACGAGTTCGGGGACTAGCCAATTGACTCCTGTGGTACTTCTACCTGAAATTATGGCCTAACCTGGTACACATACTACGTTACGATGTCTGCCATCTTGGTTCACATACTTCGGGAGTACCCTAGCAATATATGTTGAGACTTACCTTTCTGGTGAACTTTTCACCAAGAAAGTTTCTGATTTCAACACAAGCCCCCTCTTCGATAACATTACAATTGATGGGGAAGTGAGCGTACACCGATCTCAATTTATACCTGAAATATAAATATCTCTGTTAAAGCTTAATTTTAATAATTCTGATTCTGGGTCTTGCCTTGTTCTGAGTAGAAGTGTGAAACGAATAATATAACATCCTGTTTTTTGAAGGTTGATGCTCGGAAATAGGAACAACAATAGTCTTAACCGAATTATAATAATTTCGGAAAAAACACATTTTTTTCTGAGTTTTTAAAATCGGCTGAAATCTTTTCAGTCATACTGTAAAGTTTTATTGGTAAAATTACAATTTTGAAATGAAACTTTTTCGTGAACCAAGAATCCAATGAAATATATTTAATTTGAATCTAATCATCTGTGAGAAGTTACGGAGCCACTGTGGAACCAAGATCTACTGAAACTATATAAATATACACCAAACTCAATGGCGCTAAAGACAGATTTGTGTTCATATATCCAATTTGAATTAGATATTTATTATCTAAGAAATATTGATATCAAATTTTGAATGAATTCAAATATTAGATACACTTTGAAAATCCCAAGGTTACACGTGCCGCTAAAAAAAGATTAGGATAAATTATGATCTTTAGGTATAAGACGGCTTAATCATAATATGGCATACCAAGATCTCCCTTTCGTTACTAGTCAATGTTGGGTATGGGGTCAGTTATTTGTTTCAGATGCATGAACTTGATGGTGGAAGGAACCACCATATGGCTCAGAGCAGAGTATACAGGGCTAGTTCACTAAACGCTGTCAAGTACTTCTACTTGGCATGGCATAACCATTTTCATATATGTCATTTCTAACCCCCACTACGCCATCCAAAAATTATGTCAGTACAAAGTCGCAGTAAAAAAATATGGTCCGTCAAAGTATACGGATGGTCGCCCAAAACACGCAGACAATTTTCTCTCGGTTTCTCGTCATAGCCATCCCGATATGAGAGATATCGCTGGCGTTAACGAGTTGGTTATCGTCGTCGGCGATGCTATTTTGGGCGATCGTAGCTTTTCTTTGGCAAGCTCTATGACGTGATTGTGACGTAATTTTGGATGACGTATCGAAGTGGGGGTTAGGAATAACATATATGTTTAAGTACTTACAGCGTTTAGCGAACATGCGCCGCATACAGCAATCCTCCAGCACATAATTAGGTACCGTAAAAGCGCTTAACTTCGGACAAAATTACTATATTTTCGTCAATAACTCGGCCATTTATTGTCCAAACGGTGCCAAAATTGCGCGGTGAAACATTCGTGCGGTAATTTATATTCCCTGTAAATTTCGGTTCAATTGGACTATTTTTACTATTGAAATAATCGATATTTCTTGCCATCTGACCGTTATCCTTCACTGCCCTAACTTCGGACAGTCATTTTCTTCACTGCGTAACCGCGACGCACAGAGAGAAAGAGGCTTCCAATGCGGATGACGTAATCACGTCGTTGCGTGAAGATAAGACGCTCGATCGTCGCCGTAACGTAACATTGACGTCACGACGAAAATGCATTATTTGAAACTTCCGTCGTCCTATGTTTACATCTTTCGTTCGTCATTTTCGATACTTCAGATGAGTATAATACCACGTTAGTCATTTTAATCAGGAAATGCATACGTAAATATATCTGATGCAAACCGTTTCAATCCACAATGAAGTATTTTAACGGGCTTCTATCGAAGTCTTTGAAGTATTAATATTCTCGACAGATAGCTTTTTTTTATTCTGCGCGGTTATCTTTATAAATGATAATTTATATCAAACACACGGAAAATCCGATTGTGAAGTTTAATTTAAAATTCAACTTAATCTTGTAAACATGTAGGTCCCGTTTATTAATTAAATAATGGTTGAGTCAGTGCACTGTGCCATATGGACGTTGGAATTTCCATAGTTTTATATATTCGATTTTTAACGTCATCGATTAAGTGTGACATGTATTTTCATTAATGTAATTTTGGCATATATTCATACATGACCGAACAAAATACAAAAATATTACATTGGAACGCCGTCTTTATCTTAACGGAAATTGTCATATTGGCTCCGTTGTGTCTGGCGTCAAAATTCATTTCCGCGACGCAGTGTGACGTCGTGTCTGAAGTGAGCGAAAAATAATCTACGCGAGGTTGACGTAATTTTTGACGCTGCGTGAAATCTTAATATTCTTACGGAATTTATAATTCAGAATTTTAGGTTTTATTTAAATCTCGTACGACATCTTGCGATCACTCAAATAAATTATATACATTGTTGTCGCCCTCTACCGAATGATGGTATTTTGACGATGATAGCTTCAGTAGGAGCGACGCTCTGCGCCGTTGAATGGAGGGCAGTCAATTTTCGGCAAAATTTCCGTTTTTTTACCACAAAAAAATAATTATGCAACATTAAAAAAGATGAGAATAGATGTAGATATAACAGCGCAACCTATAATAATTAAAATTAGCAATATACGGCGCGTTTTAGCCAAGATATGGCCGTTCAAAAATTTTGTCCGAAGTTAGGAACTGCTGAACTGTCCGAAGTTAGGCGCTTTTACGGTATCCCCTACAAATTTCGAACCTGCAAATCTAAGAATATCTTACTTGTAGCCTTTGGTGACTCCAGTAGCCATGTTGGTGATATGACTGCAAACAGTTCGAACACAAGCGAGATCTTTGCGGTTTCCAAACCATTTGTCTACTCGAACAGTTCTTGGCCCAACCTGTAAAAATTTGAAATATTATTTCTAGTACAGATCGTCTCAAACTGTGTTTCGCAGAACAGGGATTGAAATCGGACTCAATTCGTTGCCAGGGCGATCTCAACTGTACTTCAGTGACTCTGGGTCATAAATTTGTCTTACACCTGGCGACAAACAGGTCTTGCTATCTAAACAGGCCTCAAACCAGTCTCGAAAGTATAAAGTTTTCGTTACTTATTCAATCTCGTTAACCGTCATTCTAAATATTTAAATTAAACTGGAAAAACCTCCATCGGGCATTGAAAACAAATAAAAGCTAATCCCTAAAACAAGTAAAGAAAATGACAAACCTTGCTCAGCTCAATCTTCAAATGATTGAAATTTCTCTTTAATGTCCCCCTATCCCCGTGTATGGTGACTGTTCTGCCCTTCACCCAAACTTTTACACCTTCTGGGACGGTGACATCCTGGCTAGAATGTAATGTCTTCATTTTTATTATACCCGCACCAAAAACTCGACCGTTCGCCTGTCTGGCCGGAAAGAAAAGAACCAGCCAGCGTGTAGCGGTAGGGGGTGTAAGGAGTCCATTTGATGGCTACGCAGGAAAACCTTACTCGAATAATGTTAATAAATTGAAATTTATTGATTTATTCAATATCTTAAAGATAGCAAAAAGTTATGTTTCTATTTTGAACGAAAGATTCCATAAAATTTTGTAAATTTTGTTATGATGGAACCGGTTTGATACAGAGATTGCTCTTTAAAAATTCTGATCCGAATCCTGTCGATAGGATAGGATTTACATATTTATCCCGGGGGAGAGGAAAGCCGATAAGACGGCTTAATCATATGGCGAACCACGGCCTCCGGTTACCAGTCCAGTTTGGGTATGGAATTATTTAGCCAGTTATTTTTTTTTTCGAATGCAAAGACTTGATGGTGGAGGAAGCCGCAACCGACCAGCGGTTACGTGAACCCCCCTACGGCGACAAGGAGTCCAGCAATCCTCTCGCACATGATCATCCCCGCATGTGATTCGAACCTGCGAACCCACCAAGGGTAATCAGAGATGCGGTGGCGAGCGTATTCCCAACGCTTAGCACGATGCGCCACACCGCCGAAAGGAAAACTGTGCTAGAGATTTAGTGAATTTCTAGTCTTCGTTGTTTACATTACAAATTCATCCGAGAGTGATTTCTATCATTATTCAATTTTTATGCATAGAGTTGTGATTTTAATCTGTTGAATTCGTTTAAAAAATATTTTGAGAGATTATTTGATGTTATCCACACGGTGGCGACCGCACTCAACTAATTTTTGCAACAAGGTCTTGCGAAATATTGGCTTGCCGTTCCGTTTGCCAAATGCCAAGCCGACTTAGGATAGTTCATTTCCTCTTTCACAAGCCATCATTATAATCATGAAAAACTTGCTCATTTTACCGAGATAACACTAATCAGGCATTTCTGTTTTCACACCAAAGTGTGTAATCACTATTTTCAAATTGCAAGTCATGGGATTACTTTGCCTTAGAAAAAGGCTTTTCCACTTGGAACTTAATCACAGCTTTCAATTATCTACCATGAACTGGACTCAATATAAAATACAAGCCATGAGCTAAGGACCGGCTGGATATATACCAATCGATTTCATATATTTTTTGATCATGTCACTGGCACACACCCGTGCGTGCACCGTTGAAGCTTCAGTTTGTCCTAAGAAGTTCTACAATAATATTTTTCATAAAGTTTGTATGGTCTACCTGACAGTAATTTAAATTTGACATCATCAATTGAAGTGCTATGGGAAATCACTTTGTTAACGTTACACATATGCGAGTTCATCCAAAGCAACTTTATTTTTTCCACCCAGTAAAAAAATAACAACCAAAGTTCAGAAGAATAATGAGATGGAGCGGGTGAACAAGCAGCGCAGCCCAGCTCACTTTGTTTTCCAGCAGATGCCACCGATAGAAGTTCGAGTAACGCTGGCATTCAAAAAGGTACATTATTTGATGTGATGGAACAAAGTAACAGCCTGGAAGAATATAAAGAACCGACTTGGGGTCACAATCAAAAGTGCTGGTGCCGCGGGTGTATGGCCTGACTAAGCAACGTAAAAGCAGAAAAACGGTGTAATTGGTGGCTCGTGTGATTGAGAGCTGAAATCTGAAATGAGTTAGAATTCATGATTTTTGTAATATCGAAATAAAAATATTCACTATTTCTAAGAAGGCCTAAATTCAGTTATGCCAACAAAAAGTTTCATGGACGAATACTTCTGACTCAAAACGCAATTTTCAAGAATAACAATTTATTAATCCAATATATGAAATCAAAACTACAGAAAAAATTTAATATCATGGTGAAAGTACTGATAGTAACAATGAAATGGAGATAAAATAGTGCAGAGAAACTACGGAATACAATTGTAGCAAAAAGAACTGAAATTAAGCAAAAACCAAGAAGGACGGGTCGCATTATAGATGATGTGGAGTTGTCCAATTAGCATAACAGTGGCTCTATCAAATTCATGAGTTCTTATATAATCTTCCAGACCATCCAAACAACATGAAACTTTTAAAACTCTTTGAAAAAGACTCGGCATATGTAGAGCGATGGCATTTTGAAATTGGCTTTTTTACTTTATCCTCAGAAATACCCAATTCTCAGTTTTAAATTTAAAAAAATTGTCTTAACAAATTCTAGAGTTGTTTAGTTAGTAGGGTACTGTAAGTACCAAATCACCGTTAATTTTTGACAACAAGAGTCATTAGAAACACCTAAAACCAGAGTTGCAATTTTATATAAAAAATAAAACAGTTGTAAATGAAAAAGCCCCCTTAAAAAACTTGAAAGTTATTTTGTGTGCATCAAATAGCATCAAAATTTATCTTATTACAGAAAAATTTATTTCAAAAAAAACTTTATTGCAAAAATGGTGGCCACTCATAGTTAGATGTAATTTTGTCCCAAAAAAACACTGCCATATTCAGGCATACCGTATTTGCTCGTTTAGTAGCCCGAGCCTATATTTTTTCCAACCAACTCACTAACCGGGCCCTTATTCAAACCGGCCCTTATTCAAGCACGGGCGCTTGTTATTTTCGAGCGTTACAATAATTAATATATTGTTATTTCCAGTTTTCAAGTATGATTTAAACGAGAATGACGAAAATTTTGACTTTCCCTACGCACCGCAGGTACAAATCCGCAAAAAAAGTTTTGCGACGCCCTATCAATATTAAAACCAGTTTGAGAACCATGGTGTTAGGCAATCAATGCTATCTGTTATGTACTCGGACGCCTAAGGCGTGAGTGTTATCTACCAGTGCTTAAAATTCTTATTTCCTATTGTTCTCTACCACTGAAAAATCAGCTTTTACAACGGGCGGGTATTCAAGCACCGGCCCTTATTTATTTTCATGTTCTGTTCACACGGGCGGCCATTCAAACGGGCCCTTAATCAAGATCGGGCGGTAAAACGAGCATATAGGGTATCCACAATATTGTGCGAGTAGCTATCCCACTAGATAAAGCTCCTGCAATCTGGTCAGTTAGTCGTAAGTTTTCGAACTGCAATTTGTTGCATAGCAACATGGTACTATGACAAAACAATTAGTCAAGCACCTTTGTGATATAACAAAATAATAACACAGTAATCTCAAGTACCGTTGATAAAAATGTACAGAGCAGTGTAAAGAAACGTAAACAGATCGAAAAAAAAACTGTATAAAAAAAATCACATATATATTTAGATTTACTAGCGTATTAAGAACCATTAAAAATGTGACTTTGACGCACATGCAGGACATTTTTACTTGACTAATCTGGAAATAGTTGATAGGTTTACCATCTTTAGATGGCTGATTGTTACACTTAATTTTGGTTGCAAACCGTCATACAAAGTAATACTCCAATGTACATTCACCTAATAAAAATTACCGTAATTCACATGTCGAATGTGGCAACACCAACAGCAATTAAACAAAACACAAATTTGCTTGCTCAACAGTATTGAAGAGTTTTATTTTTCCGTGCAATTCAAGTCTTGTGCACCTGAAATGAATAGCTGGCTAACTAATCCCATACCAGACATGGACAGGTAACCAACTGGAGGAGAGGCCGCGGTTCGCCATATGATTAAGTCGTCTCATCGACTTTCCTCTCCTCCGGGATAAATATGTGAATCCTCATTCCCAGCCCTATATATAAATAAAATTACTGTTTAAACCTGATATACGTAACAACGATTCAGAACCCAATTTGTCATTCCGTGATATGGAGAAGATGTTGAAAAAAATACTACTATGTCCATACAACAAAGTTCAATGGGTGCTCCCGAAGTATGCGAACCAAGATGGCGGACATCGGAACGTAACAGGTTAGGGTTAGGCGATAATTTTTTTCCAATTTTCCTTATTTTAGTCCTATTATCAGTTCGAAGACTAGCCAAGAGCCTCCCGTAGTATTTATAGCTAAAATAATGGCCTAACCCTAATCTAGTACACATATTACATTCCGATGTCCGCCATCTTGGTTCGCATACTTCGGGAGCCCCGTTCAATGTATGTTTCCCTTATGTGGAAAGGGCAACAACTTGAGCAGAGCCATGTTCAGATCAATAGTGATAAGAAAAATCCGAAGAATCTCCCATCGCATTATTGTTTTGAATTAAATTTACATAACATTGGGTTTGACTTGCTTATGAGCAACTGCGAATAGCGGAAGGGAAAATAATATGAAAAAATACAGAACCCTATTTGGCGAATCCATGGGGAAAACAGCTTAGCGGTGTTCAGACCATAAGTGATAAAATAATTTTCAAAAAAACTTTTCCTCTATTTATTGAATAAAATTTATATGAACATTGGTTCTGACTTGCCTACGAGCAACTGTAAACAGCGGAAAAAAAATAAAATAAAACAAATGCAGAAAATTTACTTAATTATCTAGAAAGACAAGAAAAGGCACTTTATAAAAATATGAAACAAAATTAATCATAATAGAAAATATCATCTAAATCAGTTTATTCTTCTATGATTAAAAATAGAGTCAGTAACGAGATGCTTAGCTGTGATTTATTATTTAACGTCCTTGCATGTTAGTAGGGCTACTTTAACATTAAGCATGATCCAACACTTTCCACTGGAAAAAATATTACAAGACATTGACAACCAATGCCCTATTCTGCTCCAATATTAATACTTTACATATAAGTATCCATGCAAGTTGCAAACCAATGTATGGTAATCAGACATCTGATGGCCGAGGAGGTTAGCATTAGGCCAAGGTGAAATTGGGATTCGAACATATGCCTTTTTGCAGAGACCAATAGCCCTATTTTTAGATTATTGTCACTGTTTTCTCTTTCTGACGAAAGTTAGGAATTGAGCTATGGTGTGAACAAAAGTGTGATTTTGCGACAATGTCCAGTAAAATTTGAATTATCAAAATCGATTTGGGAATTCAATAATAAGATCATTTTACCGATTTTCTGAGCCTTTTGTGGCTAAAGATTCAAAAATCAAATATATAACACAAATTGAAAAATCAATCCTCAAAAAAAGCCTGACTACTGGCAACTGACAGTTCTCATATATTCTGAATAGGTTACAAGTATACTGGGAATATAATGCATCCAGTACCGGTAATATGTTTTGGCATCCTAACTACAATTTTCAATGCCAATTATTGGGGGACAATTTTGTGGGAATTGATGATGATAGGTTATGATAGGTATATAAAACTATAGCCGTAATGCTAGAATGAGCTTGGGAACTCAGATTCGTGATAGAATTGGGGGCCATGCATTGGGTTTTCGGCGTTCCAGAAGTGTGTGTACCAATATGGAGGTAACTAATTTTGTTCGCCAACTTTACATCAAGTCGTGTGAAGGGACTGAAATCTATGGGCAAGAGGTATATTCGCTTGACAAACACAGACAGTCCCCGAACTCGAAATAGAACTAAAATAAGGGAAATTAGAATCAAATTATGGCCTAACCATAACCTGGTACTCACACAACAGGACGGGTTTTCTAACTAAAGCACAAACCTAATCATTAAGGTCCGTAACTTATAGCTTTATAGTGCTAAAGTGACATTGAACTTGAATATGATAACATCAAAAATTAAAAAACTCTGTTTCAAATTAACCGACCAGCCCCATCCCCTGATGTGATAAGTCCGAACTGGAAGAATTTTAGGCCTTTCAAACCCCACCAGCACCTTAAATATCACTGACTTCTTATACATAGCCTTGTTCAGTGTGTGAAACTACAACTAGGGTGGAATAAGATGAAGCTCAGGATCAGGACACTTTGGCAATAGAGGTGGATCAAATTAAATATACACTGATAGCTTGCCGATATCAATGATAGATGGTTATATGAGACTGAAGGGTGACTTTTGACTTCAGGGAGTAATCTCTTCCTGGGTCAAGCTCCCCTTTCCACCTCATGAGGTTGTGTTTCAGTAACGAGTGGTTTACAAAGTAGGGAACCCTCTTAAATTTTCATTGATATCGTTGCTGTTATTTGTATTCGATGAAACTTTAAAAGAATTAGAGTTTTTACTCGGATTCTCATAAGGTTTATAAGTCAAAAATGAAGTCCCCGCTTTGGGTTCTTTATAGTGGCCGGTACCCCTACTAGGGACAGACGTGTTCCATTGAAACTTTTTAGGACGAGTTGAGTTGCCATTTTGTACCGGCATTGGGACATGAGCTGGACTGAGGCTTCCGCTAGAACTAGATGAGGCAGCTTCCGAGTCCCTTCGTGACAGCGCAGGAGAGCTTGTGACACTAGATGCAATTTTTCTAATGGAGGTTGGGCCACTGGAGAAGTTCATTGATTCTGCTGCGTAATTTGTGTAGAGTAGTAATAATGGCTGGTAATGTCCTTTAATACATTTTATAAGAACATCACGCCAATGCTTTCCGACCTCACTAACTGCTGCATCATCGATTGAAAGCCACCGATTGGCTTTACGGTTGAAAAAGAAAGTTGAATAATGTTTGCCATAGTAACACACAACAGCTGATAAATGGTATTCGTTACGCTGCGCATTTTTATCTAAAACGGAGTCGAACATGTCCTGTAACTTTATCATTGTGCTCAATGTGTGTATAAAATCTATAATATGTTCTATTGCTGGCTCTTCACTGTCCCAGTTTACCCCAATGCTTATCACGTCCGGGGCATTCATCAGTGAAGTCCGTGTTGCGATTTCCGATCCGCAATTGCTCGGGCATTTTCTACTCCCTCTACTGACGGATCGAATCAATCGCGCAAATTTTTCTTCTTTATCCGCTGCCCGATAATACTTTCTTCTTGCCTAAAATAAAGAAAATACATTCAGCTGGAATGCTTGGTGCAAATGGCCTAGTGCAGGAGTGTGTAACTTTGAATAAAGGGGGGCAAAATACAAATAAGTGTGTGAAAATGCGGGCCGCAGGCTGCGTTCTTTCTGGTAGTTGCAGGCACAAAAACTTGGGTTGTTGATCTTATGACATGTGTTGTTCGCTTCGCTCATTCTCAGGTATAGGCTTTGTAGCGCAAAAAATTTTGAAATTCCCCACACATACTAGATTAAACTAAAGTAAAAAATCGGTTCACGTGCCGCACACCATTCAAAATTGGCACTCCTCCGCAGGCCGCAAATCTTTTCCAGTAGGCTTTATTCAGCCCAGGGGCCGCAGTTTGCACAACTTTGGCCTAGTGGATAAAGCGACTTAACTGTGTAAGCAAGTAAGAAAATTAATTATATAGTGAACCACATCCTTTTATTTGCTTGCCAATCCACGTCGGGTATGGAATTGGTTAACCATGTTATTTTTAAAATGCAATTTGATGGTAGAGGAAGCGAAGCCATAACCGACCAGTGACACGTGAAACACCCTGCCACAGTGAAAAGTCCACCAATCCTCTTGCACATAATTATCGGCCACTGAATTCAAAGCTGCAAACCTGTGCAGAGTAATCAGATTGCAATCGCACTCCTAAATGCACGATGCGCCGACCACTCGGTTATATCGAATCATATAATAGAAATCAATAATATTTAGTCAACACTGCTTTCTATATCGACCAATTTCCCATGAGAATCATAACCTCGGGCGCTCATTAATTAAACACCTAGTCGTAAAAATTTATAAATCAATACATTAGTGAGTACAGGTGAATGTACACAAGCATTTGGAATGATTTTGAAAGTCTTATAAAAAAAATGAAAATCAGCATGGCTACCTTATTGGAGTTCCTCTGCCAAGAAAATAAAGAAAAATTAGAAATCAATTTTTAAAACTCATGGCATTTTTGTTCCAAGATATATACATATGACAGACCTCATGAAGTATGCGCACCAAGATGGCGCACAACCTGAATTCAGGTTGTGTACCAGGTAAGGGTTCAGGTTATGTGACATCTTGGTGCACATACTTCAGGAGCACCCATATGACTCTGACAACGGGTCACGTTATATTGAATATTTCTAATAATAAAACGAGGTTTTATCAGGCTTTGACAATTAAAATAATCAATAGGATTAGAGAGCTGAGAGACTAGAGAGCGAACCTATTTGACCCTTGTAATTATCTTGAAGACAAATCAAACATTATTCCTTCATGTGGACGATGCCAGTGGGGATTAGTGCTGCCCATTACAGAATTTGAACCTTTTTTGCGTTTTCAGATTAATTCCGACCATGAATTTGGAAAAATACAATACACCCTGTCATTTTAGAAAACAATCTACTATTCCAATTACATTCGGAAATGATATTTTCGAAAATGGAATATCCAATATATTTCTGAAATTTCTAAATTGATAAGATATGGGAGTCAATGTAACACCATAGCGGATATTTGAGATGAAATTTGTTTTGATCAATATTTTTTGAAGTGAGAGTTACGTTAACATACAAAAAAATTGAAGAGTTAGACCTAACTAGGGTCCGACCGATGCTGCCTTTGTAAACCAATACTGATAGTTTTCTATCTATATCAGTCGGGCCCTAGACCTGACCCTGTTGGCATCGCTGGTTACTACAGATCTCGGGATCAAATCCCAAGCCTCTATCTCACCAAGGATGTGATGACTTGAACGCACAATGCCGAATCGAAAAGATTATGTTTCTTCCGAATTCCAATGAGTGGTAGCTCCTCACATATCGACACCTCAAAACCAAACAGTGCTAAGTCCTCTTTTCCAAAAAATGACATTTTTCAATTGCTGATTTTCCTGGATTTAGCTCTACATTTTGGTCTATTTGCCTTATCTCTAGGTGCTCTAGATCTCAAGACAGCTATGAACATAACCCTGCTTTTTTTAGGGCATTTGAGAACTAAACAGAGCTGTGTCTACTATAGTGGACTTAGCTCTGGATAACTGCATTGTAAGTTGGGGCTAAGTCCGTTTTTTGGACATAGCTCCTCTCAAAAAATATAATACAAAGCGCTAAATCCATACCAGCCTCTATAATAACATAATAAAGGGGCCCTAAGTCCAATAAAATTGTTTCTGGTCCAGAAAATTGAGAGCCAAAAAGGGTTAAGTCCAAAAAAAAAACCCCAAAAAAAATTGGGGCGGAGCACAAATTTTTTTATACCATCTAAATATGGCCTTCATTGTAACTTTGGTGGACCATAAAAACTAGACATCCTCGGTGTAAGGTATTAGAGAAATAAAAAAAAGAAACAAAAAAAAAACGTTTTTTGCGTTTTTCTCAAAACTAGAAAAATGGACTTAGCCCAATTTGGATTTCATGCGTCGATATGTGAGGATGATAGTACAGGACCTTGTCTAGAGCAAAAGTTGTACAAAAATCGTGTAAAAAATAAACAACAAATATTTACCTTCAATTTAGCACATAGAGCTGTTGCGGAAACATAATGTACGAGTTGTATGAACGGTAAAGGTTCGGAAGTTTCGCCGCATTCGCAAACTCCCTGCTCTATCAACATCATGCCGAACTTTTGGTGAGAAATACAATGCTTTGCGGAACACATATTGTCTTCTGAGGTAGATTCTTCAACCACATGAGAGTGGATTCGAAGTAAAAGGTTTTCAAAACATTCAGCGGCGTCTTCCATAAGCCCAAGTTGGAACCTAAAAAATAAGAGCACAATGACACAAAGATAAAGCTATGTACAGAAGGATGTGGTGGGATGACCTAGTGATTGGGAGTGTTGGTATTTCAATGTCCATGGCTGATTCCTCGCATCTCGCTATTTTGTATTAATAATTTTGTATAAAGCTATATTTCATTAAAACTGGCAGAAAGAAACTTATAAACATTTCCTGGGCGAACCGAGGGCCGTGTGAAAATTCAGTAAATGAGGTCAATAAATCGGTACTCCCGAAGTGTGTGAACCAAGATGGCGGACACCGGTACGTAGTATGTGTACCAGGTTAGGCCATAATTTTATTCCAATTTTCCTTATTTTAGTTCTATTACGAGTTCGGAGGCTAACCAAGTGACTCCCATAGTATTTGTACCTGAAATTGTGGCCTAACCCTAACCTGGTACACATACTACGTTCCGGTGTCCGCCATCTTGGTTCACATACTGCGGGAGTACCAATAAATCTGCTCAATGGCTTCATTTGGTACCATGCACCAAAAAGTAGCTGTGGATTCAGTTTTTTGTGAAATGGAAGTAACCATGACGTGAGCACCATAGGTGAATTATCCCAGGTTCAAACCTTATACCAACCAGCCTACCTCACCCAGAATGAAATAAATAGGGCAGGAATTGTCTAACTGGAAAGTTATCCTATCTTTTCAAAACTCCTTGCATAACAGCTTATATGTAGCCTTGTTCAGAGTGATGGCTTGAAATCAATTGAAAAGTTTTTCAAAATTTACATCGATTCCCACCTGTTTTGAGCTTGATATATGATGGACATTGCAACTCTTAAATCCGTCGGCGGCAGAATCTCCTGATCGCTGTATTTGAACCTTGCGAATAGATGTTTCATGGCACAAAATATACAAGAACTTTCGCCGACACAATTATGTCCAGTCATTCGAGCAAAATTAGTTCGAAAAACATCCAAATGCCAAAGTACTTGAACGGCACTATTGAGAAAGCAGTTATTCTGTCCAGGCTGGTTCTCTAGTCCTTTCGTTTTGACAGATAATCTTCCCGATTTATACAAAGCCTTGTTTTTCTTGAGCCATGGAATCATGGTGATGGCTGGTGATATTTAATGCTACCTTGGCAACATTTGTCAATGTAGCATTTGGTGAATTTCGATTGAAACTCAAATTTTAAAATAACTTGACTGGGAGTTATAAATTACATTTTATATTGATTGAAAATACATGTAAATATAACTGTACAAAATAAATATTAACATAAGGCTTTATCAAGAATTTCAAACTTGTGGCGTTAAAAATCTCTAAAGTTGCTGCACGTTCTATAGCAATTATATAAAGTAAGACCTCAAGACCACCTAACTTTCTCAAGAGCTGAGCCATGAAAAACGAAAGTATAGTTTAATATATTTCTTTCAAGTTTTTTAATGAAAATTACGTTAATTGCTAAATGATCTGATACTGGTCACAATGACGAGGCAAAGTCAATCAATTTTATTTTTGACAATAAAAACAGACAAGCTGGTTTCGCTTTCGTGGGAGAAAAGCACAATACATCAATTCTGCCTGGAGTTCAATATCTATCCAGAACACAGAGAGTAATCATTGGAAGTCTATTTACAACTAGATTTAATTATGATTCTTAAAACCTTCCTTTACTGTGCAAAACTAATATTTATGTTAGACTACATATAGGGTGTCACTGATCAATAACCAGTATAATTTTTTGAGCGCTCCAGAAGTATGTGTACCAATATGGAGGTAACTAATCTTGTTGTAAGTTGTGTAAAAGAACTGAAACCTATGGGCAAGCGAAATTCACTTGGCTAACACAAACAATCCCGAACTTGTAAAAGAACTAAAATAAGGAAAATCAGAATAAAACTATCTTAACTATGGCCTAACCCTAATCTGGTACACATACTACAGGAGTACCTTTTATGTGCCTTACTTCACACCGAAACGCCAGTTTTTGTTCTATTTTACACTGCATGTCCATTACCTACTCTCAGCATAGGTAAAAAAATGACTGACTGATAAGGAACTCACAAGTTACTTACTGTAATAAGCTTTAATTGCCAATCTAGTGATGGCCTACTCACAAGCAGCTATTAATTTGACTATTTGTGAAAAATATAATCTCTCCACTCAGTCATTTACTATACATGTGACACTCATACGGGTGACGTCACTAGCAAGGTAAACAAAATAAAAATGAAATGAATATAAATAAAGCTATGATCACACAGCTCTATTGACAGTTCAGCTTACAGCAAAAGATAATTATTTTCCTAATATGGAATTCTTTATGTAAGTGATGTCATTCTTATACAAATATATCAAACACATGAGAAATATTATGACAGGTGTTTCATTTTAAACAAGCAAGGAATAAAATATGGTATTAGTGTCATCATAAAAAATGTTAGTATGTTGGTGTCATGAAAAATCTTCTGAATCCACAATATAAACAGGAATATTGATTTACCTGATCAGTGCTTTTCAACCAGGGTTCCACCAGTATAGTCCAGGTTTACATTCAAATCTGAGAGACTACATTATTATATGTATATTGTTTGTTGAATATAACCACATACACAGGTGTACTATAATTATATAATAAGTGTACGTTTCAATTAGTGTTTTGTGAAAGACCTCCATGTGTTTTTGTGTCAAATTCTTGTTTCATATTTTGTTTGTTATATTTTATGAAGAAAAATATAAACATGTAATCAATTACACAGGGACAGATTGTAGGCTCTGAGAAGGTTCATTAGAATTTCACCCCACCAAAAAGGTTGTATAATATGACACATACAACATTTTCTTGCCATTACAAACCAATGAAAAAAGTCTGTGTAGCCATAATTTAAGTAAAATTACAATTGCGTAATGGCATAGACTACACGGCTCACATGATTTGTGTGTCAGACCGACTAAAAACACAAAACCTATTTCATAAAAGAAAGGCATTTTCTCCCAACCCAGACACAAAGACGGATCCAATTAAACTATATAGTGTTATGTTTGTTTCTATTGAAGATAAAATGAAACCGACGAACACTAAAAGGAATTGTTGCTATTATATCAAGAAGTCTATGCCATATGTTACCTACTAAGGTTTGGGTCAGAAATAAGCGATACCCATTATGGATGGAAAATAAACGGTGGGACTCGCCCCAGAAAGGGCTGTAAACAATTTTTTGAGGGAGTGTGAAGCTGATTAAAATGAAAATATTCGTTAGAATTTTGGATATTACATTTCTTCATTATGTACACATATTTTCCAAGTGTTTTTTGAACAAAACATACTATAGAATTACTATCTGTTAGTTATTTTAAATGGTGGGGCGCGAGACTTGACAAATTCTAAAAAGGTTCGAAAACTTTGAGGCATTAAAATTTAAAATCTGTGGTAAATCTCACATTATAACGTATGGTAGACACCAAGCTATATATGGCAGCACCAGAATAATGCTCATTAATGTAGGATGCACAGTTACATATGTTATTGGTTGTAACTTGTAAACCTGGTAGCATTTGAAACCAATAATTTAGTGAAGCAACACATTGCCAAAACATATTTATTTAAATTAATAAATAAAAATTCCATTGATTACTATTTCAGAATATCTAATAATTAGAAATTTGAACCGAATATTCATCCGAAATGAATATCAAGGCGAACATAACAAATTTTGAATGTATTTGAATCTTTTTGGACATCCTTAATTAGGTTAAACAAACAGATAAAGAAAGCACAGCCCTGGGTTGAGAACACACAGGCAGAAATAAACTAAAAAAAATCTGTTTAATTCAAGAGTCTTGCTGCACACTGACACAAAGGTATTTCTGGGTTTCTATAAATGCAATAGAAATTATGAAACACCTGTAAATATTTAGAAAAAAATAAATAAAGTACGGTAGGTCAAATACATTTGTGTTAGTGTGCAGCAAGACTTTCGAATTGCGTAGTATTGGTCTAATTTATTCCAGCTACAGCATCCATGCTTACAGGTAGAGGAGGGATGTACAAAACATCTAAGATTGGACAAACCATGTTAAATTTAGCAGTTTGTACCATGGCTTACTGTAAAACAGGCCCATAGGCATCGCTCTATGCTTATGCTAAAGAAAATGTAGTTGCTTGTTGTGACATCACTGTTTGGTTTTAGCTAATTTTACTTAATACCATCACCAATCTCAAAAGTCCAGTGAAAGAAGCTCTAAAGTTCCATGAAAAATATATATATTGACCTGGGGTCACACTGGACACTTGAAAGTTGTCTTTGGGGTCGTCATGAAAAAAGCTTGGGAACCCTTGGCATAGATCAAGGGAAGGTAGTTAGTTTCACGTGACTAGGGCCCGACCGATACTGCCTTTTTGAACCGATACCGATACTGCTAGTTTTCCAAAACTAGGCCGATAAGCCGATAACGATACCGATGTTTCTTCACATAAAAAAATTGCTACAAGTAACAAACAACACTCTGAGAATTCTGTGTTTTTCTTGCAAAAGAAATAAATGTTGAAACTCATGCAATGATTATAAAAAAATGCAAATTTGTGCATCACTAAGTTTTTTTAAGAATAGCGATTTTCAACGCCTTATATTAGAAACAAACAGTGTAAAGCCACAGTGCTGAAGAAAATTGTGTGCATGGTGAAAAAGAAAGAACACTTATGTAAGTTTATGGAATCTCAATAGCTCCAGTTTAACAGTCTCAAGTTATAGTTGAGAAAGCAGAGTTTTTCTGCATTGGCTCCAAGCAATGAACATCTGTTATCTGCATAGATATTACCAGCGGTGCTGAATACTCTTTCACTGGGAACAGATGTTGGTGGTGCCGAAAGGTATTTTCTGGCCAATATAGCTAAGATAGGAAATCGACAAGCATTGTCATGCCACCAATTTTGACACTTTGGCAGTCACGTGATTAGCCGATAACTCTAGGTAAAATTAGCCGATACCGATAGTTCAAAATTTGTGAAAAACAAGGCCGATATATCGGCCGGGCCCTACACGTGACCCCAAATAATAATAAAAAACAAATATTTTTAGATCCAATTGTAGGATATATGGGTATATGCTCAGTAAAACTAAACTTAAAAGGTGTTTATAAATTCTAATTCTAGGATATATGGGTATATGCTCAGTTAAACAAAACTTGAAAAATGTTTTTAAATTCCCATTTTGGGATATATGGGTATATGCTCAGTTAAACAAAACTTGAAAAATGTTTTTAAATTCCCATTTTGGGATATATGGGTATATGCTCAGTTAAACAAAACTTGAAAAATGTTTTTAAATTTCCATTTTGGGATGTCTGAATAGATGATTAATAACTGGAATTTAGATTCCAGTCTGTACTACATTATCACAGGAAATGATATTGTATGCAAAGTATTGACACAGAATGCAATTTCCTGATCTGGCATTTCCTGACAAAACAAACAAGGATTGATCATCAGTGCTCTCTGTTTTAACCAATTTCGAGCATGGTGATTATTTTAGAGAAGTCTCAATCATTTTACAATACTACTATAGAAATATAGAACTCTGAATGTTTGAAAAACAGCAAAATATGTCATATTGCGGTCTAGTATAAAAGTTACTGTATCTGGAATGACTTTTCTCAATTTTCAATAAAAAAGAGCAAATAATAAAAAAAAAAAATTAATTGAAATTAAAAGTATTACAAGTAAATAGTTGGTCTTTAAACTCTAATATAATCATATTTAAAAGCAATATTTCTCAAAGTAATTTACCTATGAAAAATTACAGGAGATTAATATGAACTTCACTCAATTTTTTTGAAACCTCCTTTCCATATTTTTCGTTTTGGTTTATTAGAGCCTGTTTGCTTTGAGTCAAATTTTATAAATTGATTGCAAAAACAATTTTTCAAGATTAAAACTATACAGTATATAGGCAACCTACCTAATTAAACCTCACAATAAAACTTGCATTTTTCAATGCGAATATATTATTTTTATTCATCAGTTGTTCTCAAACTTTTTAAGCATTCCTTTTTTTAGAATTTGTCAAGTCTTGCACCCCAACTCAAAAATAACTGGCTTACAATAAGCTACAAATAACAGATAGTAAGACAGAGGTATGTTTTATTCAAAAAAAACATGTTGAAAATACGTAGATATCCAAAATAAGGCTGGCAAGATCAAATCTAACATATATTTTTGCCCCTCAAAAAAACTTCGAGAACCACTGCATTATACAATCATAGCCAAATTAAACTCAATTTTATCAAGTTTCTCATAGCAATTCGAGGAATAAAAATTGAGCCAACAATTACATGGCTGGCCAAGGTGAGAAAATCTAATTAAATATTGATAAGCTTTAAAAGGCACTCCTATTGCGAGATTAGTCCAGCTTTTGGTCAAAAAAATTCAAATCGATCCAAGTTTCAATCATGATAAATACGTCAGTTTTATTTATAAAATGACTGCACCGTATCAAATCCATTTGTTTCAGTAAAAATTTTACACTCTTTAAAACTTTTCCAAGAACTTCAGTTATTGTTATGTGGAATTCACTACCTCATAGCTGTTTTCTTGATCCTACTGATCAGGGCCGTAGCCAGAAGGGTGTTCCACGAGTCTGAGTTCCCCCTTTGAAATGTAAAAAGAAAGAATTATTTTTCTGTATGATACACAGCAATTTTTCGCAGCTTGAAACACATTCAGACCCTCATTAAACCTCTTGGAAACCCACGTTTTTCTCTAGCTCTGCTAACTTGGCAATTAAAAACTCCCTGGCTAGTGATATCAAGTCTCCTGTCAATGAGTATTTACTTACGCAGCTCTACACTAAAACTCCTTGCCTTGAGAAATTTTCCTTGAAAAAAAATGTTATTTTGCTTAGTACAAGGGTCCGCAACTTTTTTCTGCATTCCTTACTTTGACTATGTTTCCGTTTGCAATAATGCTGAATACGAAGACAATGTCAGTGATACTACACACGAATATTAAGTACAAAATCCTCCGTCATACCAACTAAATAAATGATAACCATACTACATGAGACATACATTATTAAAAAGCTTATATAGGCCTATCTATTCAAGATCACTGGAACAAGCAATTAGCTGGCTGTTTCCATACCCAGTTTAAATAATAATAACCAAATAAAAGGCTATCATTTGGCACGATTATTAAGATGTCTTATGGGATTTTCTCACCCCAAATAAAACGTAAAACCAAAAAAGATATACCTCTAAAAATATAGAGAGACAACTTTGCTAATTAGTAAATTTCAAGGCAACTTTTGTATAAGTTTTCCTCCCCCCCTGAGATAAATAAACACAAAACCCATCCAAAATATGGTACTCCCGTAGTGTGTGTAAGGGTTAGGCCATAATATTTATTCTGATTTTCCTTACGATTAATTCTATTACGAGTTCGGGGAATTTCTGTGTTAGTCAAGTAAATAATTATACTTCCTGCCCATAGGTTTCAGTCCCTTTACACAACTCGATGTAAAGTAGGCGAATGAAATTAGTTACCTCCATATTAGTACACATACTTCTGGAGCGCACAAAATACTTCACTAAAAATTCGAAACATAATATAGCAAGTCAACCCTACCACTCCTGTAATTACTACACTTTAACATGAATTTCTCACTGTGCATTCCACACAAGCCGATCTAACTCAGATTTGCCAACCAAAACAACCAGCGATTACTTTTAATTACTTCTGCCCTAAGGGTATGCTTGGTCATTGAACTACACTGATTGCTAAATCTCATTAAATCCATTTAAGATAGTTTAACATTGTCAATTAGATATTTAAATTGAGAACAGGTTTGAAAAAGAATTTAACTTTAATTTAATTTTTGGAATTTAACTTGCGCAAAGAGGGCTGAATTATCAAGAAAAAAAATAAACTATAAGCATCATGAGACAAATGCTCTCATGGTAAGTCCGAATCAGAAAAAAAATGAAAAATTCTCCCTTCTTATGTTGTTTTATTTAGTTCTAATCTAATAATATGCCAAAATTCTATAATCTATCTAATAAACAATAAACTTACTTATGAGATTTAAATAAAAGATTATAAAACAGAGATTTCACCAACAAAAGCTTTTTCTTTGTAATATTTTGCTGTTCTTTTATTCATAGAATTTGCCAAGATTTGGAACCAAAAAAATGGTCTCATACCAATTACCAACTATTTTCTGAACAGTTGAAGTGTCCTCTCATACAGCACACAGCCTTATGCACCAGCATGATGGGTACCTAATTAAGGTACCAACAAATATCACCTGATTAGCACTTCAACAAATTAGCGATATCTCACTAATCCATGCAGTCTCGGTAACTCTTTTCACATCAGTGGCAATACAAAGCTTTGCTCAGAAAGGAGTCTCCTTTATTTCTAAGTAAAGCTGTTGGCATTTCATAGGTTACCGTAATTATTACAATTACAAATACATTCTAAAATAATATTTCAGAAATGAGATAAGAATTGCTTGAATGGTAAAAGGGTAAATGAAGTATATTTTTGTCCACCATCAGGTCTAATATGCTTATTAAAAAGACTTATTTTTAAATGAAAATATTCTATGCTATCGATTGAGTCTCTACGAGACTAACTACGGTACTTCTCCGTCTCCCATGCTTTTGCGCCAGTGGATCCATATGTCATGCAAGGATGCTGTAGCAAGAGTGAAGATAACTATCCTGAGTAATTCAAGAGTCTTGCTGCACAATAACACACATATATATTTTTGTAACGTTTTGTCTTACCTTGGTTCACAAAAATATATTTGTGTTAGTGTGCAGCGAGACTATTGAATCACTTAGGATAAATGTTCTGAATTGATCTTAAGAATTTACTATATCAAATAGGCCATACCCAATTTAAAATATTCGTTTTGTTCTGGATATTACTGTGTACTGTCATGAACTTATCTAAATCAGATAAATGTCTAACATTACCAAATCATAGGGACCGGACCGCCTTTGCATTTCAGACTTTGATTTTTTAACCTCGGCCTTTGAATTTCATATAGTCCATCATAAATTTCAGCACTATCATGGCAATTGCGTAGTCTACTATTAAATAATTTTAAATATTGATCATCTGTAAATCTAAAAATTAAGCGGATTCAGTTTAGAGACCAATACATGCATGGATAATAAATACAATACTATAGTGCTGTTGTAAGAATGGGTTTGTCTACTTTGGTACTTGGTCTACCTTGAAAACCAAAAAAATGAAAAATAAAAGGATGATAAATTCATCCTTGCAGGGAATAATACACAAATAAACTCGGAGTGTGCAGTGCTATAGAGTAAGATCTACTTCAAGATTGTACTATAAGCGTGGGGTCTACCAACATATAGCGTACGATCTCATAAACCACTCGTAAGCTGGTACTATAGAGTGAGATCTATCTCAAGTTACCTAGTACTATTCGCATGAGATCTACCTCATTAATATAAAGCAGATCCCTGCTAGAGTTAGGGTGAAACATTTTGAATTACCCTCAATCAATATGAACTAGTTCAGGCCGAGTAAAGATATGACACCTGTCAGGCGACACATATAGGCAAACTTCACGCTATAGCAGACTGATTACGCTAATATTGATTTTAGGGTTGTGATTTGCAGAACAGTACCAAAGTAGAGTGGACCCATTAAACATTCTGGTACAAATTGATGAAAATGGGCCAAACATGGAACAGGCATAAAACACAAATTCTGTGGTTTGCCCTTGCTTGAATGTACATAAAGAAAACAATGTTTTACTGAAAAGCAGAATAAATATCCAAAATTGATATTCGAAAAAATGGTCAGATTAGCTTGAACCCTTCAAATACAACAATATCTTCAAATAACTAATTTCATTTATAAGAAACATTAATAATATCAGCTTAATAACTACAAGCAATTTGCATGAAAAAATTCACAATAATAATTCAAGGGCTTCAACTCAAAAGGGCACTATCAGCATCTTTAACTTTTTGTTGAAACTTTGGTAAATATGCCATCAAACTTTGATAAAAAAAAACAGCTCAAAAAGCAGATTTTTCTTCATAATTTTTCTTCATAAAATTATTTCAAAATTCAAATTTCGCCCTATTGTCTTGAAACCCTCGAATTTACATTTCTATACCAAACTGAGATACCAACAAAGTGAAAAATAAGCTTCATTGGTCAGGCATAAATAAGGAAAGGATAGAGCAGCATCTATTTTATTCTATACCCTCAGTTCTACCTAAATTGAGAAAAATGAAGCAAAAAAGGGAAATTGAAATTTAAGACGACCTGATCCATTAAAAAATACCACCGTCTGGTCCAAAAAAAAATGTTTTCATTGAAAGCACTCTTCTCGAGACCTCTAATTGTTTTCTTAGAAAATGCGCCCGAATACAGGTCATCAATCATATATTTATGACATTTACTGGCTTTTAAAACAATAAAATTTACAAGGTTCAATTTACAGGTACCTAGACTGTCCAGGGAAAAATCTATTTAACATGGATTTAAATTCAAAATATTGGGCCAATTTCCAGCACATATTATGTATATTGATCAAATGTATAATAAAGTTTTGAAGCATTTTGACGATGCTCAGATATTTTCTAAATTACACTCCATCCAGTAATAGTCAACATTGAATTTGAAATTTTTGTACAAATCACGAATATAAGGGACATTCTAATAATTTCCATAAATAATTTCCATTTCATAACATTTGCTTGCGGCACAGAAACCAAATTAACAACAAAAATAATCATTTATTGGGAATTTTGATAATATTATATCTTGAGGTCCACCACCATTATGTCAGCTACGCAGGCGCAGTCTGAGTTCTACTGTGTTTGGGTTAGGGTCAGATCCATAGCATTAATGGCTAAATATAATGTATAAAAATAAGTGTAATCCATTAGGGATGGAAAATGTATGCCTCTCGTTATAAAACAAGCTTGGGCCAATCCCATGCTATAATAGCACCAGAGTTTTCACATTTATACTAGCACTGGATCTGAATATTTCAATATAAACTTGTCATCACAAATTGCTGCTCAAAAACTGAGCATAAAACGAATCCAGACAATTTAGTAACCAATGGTCGATGGCCCCCCAGAAAGCGTTACATAACAAAATTAATTTGGCATACAATAAGATCCTAGGCACCAAGCGTATATACGTAAATTGAAAAGGGAGGTTTGCATTTGGAAAATAAAAGGATAGCCAATATAATATATAAATTTCAACACAATATTTCACATTTGCATTCCATGTAATTAAATTTTTTTTTTATTAGTTACATGAGCCAGCGCTTAGTGACAAAGCCTCTCTCAAAAGGTTGAAATTCAATTTGCCACTCTCGAAAATATCATATATGTTATTCTCAAATCTTTCAGTTTCTTACGCTTTTTAGCAGAGTGTGTCACAAATCACAATATACTATTATATATGGAAATGGGAATTTGAATTGAGATGCTTAATTTATCTTCAAACCAAAAAGGCTGATAAACACTGCCACTGGTTCATTGTATAATCAAATTTTCATCCTGAAAAGGACGCTTTTCATCTTTGTGGACGCCTTTCAAAATCGCTAAAGCAGCCACAGACTGGTTATGGATAAATAAAGGTCTTATTAAGCGAAAATGTGATGTAAAAAACTCGCAATTATGCATTTTTACTTAACAGAGCAACCGCACACTAGGTGAATGTCTTGATTTCATAAAACAAAAAAAAGAATGAGATTTCTGACAACAAGTCTTGAAACATGTACAATTTTCACAAACCCCCGTTTCAGAAACACCGGCTTGAAATATACAATATGACGCTCAGTCAGGAAAATAAACTGCCATATCTGAACAACCCACCACCTAATTACACATTAAATTATAAGTTTTACATAGTTTTACAAAAGAAATATATAATAATAAATTGACACAAAACATTGTGAAAAATACTATCATAAATATGCATGGTGCCGACTGCGAACTGTAGGACTGCAGTATACTATGTATATTGGCCATTACAAGCCAAATAAGAACAAAAATACTCATAGTACCAGTTGGCAAAATACTTCAAGGAACTTCAACTTCATGGGTATAACCACACTAACCATGTCTTTTAGATATACTGTATTTTGCAGATACTAGGCCGATTTTCTAGACACAATTTTTCGACCTGATTTTAGGTCGAATTATTTGGCAGCCAAGCTTTTAATTAACTTTGGACCATTGTGGCTATTTATTAATAGATGAATATTGAACATGAAAAACCAATAATGCCATGCTGGGCAATTTTGGATAATTGTTAGATTATTTCATTGCATGGAAAAAGATACCTTGTGCATATCACAATCATCATTTACGTCATGCAAAATTCATTGGTATTGTGGCCATGGCTGGGGAGCCGGAATCTGGAGCAATGACATTTTGGCGGAGTTTAAGTCAAGCTTACCCTGTTAGATGAAGCCCGAGCTACCAGAAACATTAGTGGCTCCAGCTTCGAACCATCTAATTAATTTTCAATATTTAGAATTTTTTAATACTTCATACACATAGTAAAATCTATCCTTTTCAGCTCATAAATTTTTATACATTCCAAATTTTTGAAGCAGGGGTTCTAGTTGATAAAAATCATATAGGAATACACTTAAATTGACTTGATAAAAGGTCAAGATGACTTTAAAACCCACACAAGTAAAGGTAGAATAGGACAGCTTGATATGGTCCATTGCCTTGGCACATATATACAAATCAAAATTGTGCTTAATAATACAGGAGAGAGCACCCACAAATGAGATATACTTCATAAAGGAATGCTCAAGTTAAATGATACAAATTTCACATTAAAACGGTAAGAAATATCAGACAATGTTAAATAATAAAGGAAATGATTGGCTAATAAAAAGCAACCATACTAATGATACTATTATATCAGTAAATAAGACAAATCTTCGATAAAATAAAGTTGCGAATTTGCTACGAAAAACTAAACAGACATCAACAAGCTAAATAAGTAATTTTAGAAGAAAGATTGTCATTACTAAGTTTCCATAACTGAGAGTACAAGAGTTAAATTGATATATCCATTTCAAATGCATCGTTTTTTTCAAGGGAATAATGCTCAAATCAAGGGGGAATATAAATGTTGATAGAAGCACCCAAAAAACATCTGACACATTAATACGAGTTACAAATGTTATGACTATTATTGAGAAGAAAAGGTCAGCAGATGTTGGTTGTCCAATTGATTGTAGAATATATGCGATAATTCGGGAATGAGGGAAGGTTTCCAAGCCCATAAAGGGTTGTTTAAATAATAAAATTACTGTTTCGCAAAATTAACTTTACAACTTTCGATATCAGAATCCAAATTAGATGTACATGAAGAAATCCCGGTCAGATCAGTGATTCTGCCACATTATAGTCCAACAATCGACTTGTTGTGTTTATACGAAGATTAGAATTAAGCAAGAATGTTATGCGATACGATGAATATACCTCCACTTATACCAAAAAAATATGTATTTGTTTTCACAAAGTATAAAAGCACCAAGAGCATAGTTTTGTTTTTCTGAGGGTTTGCTTCATTTGTGCAAATCTTTACATAACATATTTATTCATAAACTAACATTTGCACATCGCAAATTTGTCCGACTCATAGTTTATTCCTTCTCTAGAAAAGATGACTTGGTTTGTCCTGGTAACTTCGGAGCTACGCTAAATTGTTGTAACGTAGCTTCAAGCATCTGTTGATTTCCTGCAAAAAATGCAGTTACAGCATTGTGGAACAATAGGAGGTGTTTCTGCATGACTTTGACACGATTTTCATCCAAAAACTGAAGTTTTACTCCAACATCTTTCCTCAGTTTTTCATAAAGTTCTTTCTGTTTGTTGAAGTTAACTTCAGCGGCTCCTTGTTTTGAAACAGTTGCTGCTGTTCTCGGAGATAGTGCCAAAGTTTCCAACTCAGTCCGATAAGCATCGAATTCCACTCTTGCCTGTTCGTACTTCGTAACCGTTAGGAGAGTGTCTTCCATGGTCTTTTTACACAATGTATTGATGCCGTTAATGAAAAATTGAATAGCTGCGAGCAAGCTTTCACCATTTTTCACAAGAACTTGTTGAGTGTCCGAATTGTAACGAAACTCTTCTTTCAACTCGTTTGACTTGTGAGAAAGCTCATTAAACGCTTCACTGAGTACACGTTGGGCTTGCATCATGTTTGAAATATGAGTGCTCAAAGCCTGTGAAACTGCAGCAAGATTTTCATATTTGCGTTTTGTGTCACGTAGTATTTCAATTTTCGCTTCTAGCTCTACATCAACGGTTTTTGTTCCGCGGCCCAATCTTTCTGATAATATTTGCTTTGTACATTTGTACGTTTTTACACTCCAAGACTTCAAAAATTCTGCCTTTTCCATGGCTGTTTGTGTCATTGCTTGCATGCTAAGATTGCTTGCACCGGCAGCAGGTTTTTGAAATCCAGTGTTGCCGTTTGAAAACCCTGATTGCTTAACAGCCGAAGGTGTGTATATGGGTGACTGTTTGGGGGCTCCAAAAGGCTGATAACTGTCCCCACTCTGCGACCCATTTGTCGCGGAAGGAGGAGGTTCTTCACCAGCTAATCTGCTCCCTACACTGGACGAACCCACTCCTCCAGATGGAGCAGACATTTCGTGCATCATTTTCGCTTAAATAAATATCTCTACAATACAATATAAACAAGCTAGGTATGAAAAAAAAACAAATTCAACTGTCAGTAATGGAAAACAACCAACTCTCGACAAAAATATGGTAACGCAAAGCGATTCCGGCGATTGCGCCGCAACGTCATCCCAAAACGGCCGCTATATGTTGGTGTTCCCATGATTCAATTAACAGGAAATATAAATATGTTATTTTATTTCTCTAGTAATCTTTTTTAATCGAACAATACAGTTTATATAAAATATCATTTTAAATTTTATATAGTATAGCAAAATTTGGTTTTAGTAAATGAATACAGATACAAATATTTTAATACAGATATTTACTATTTACAACGGGAACACTCAGAAGTAAATCGTAAAGCATGACGTAATACCAAAGTAACGTATCAATCCGGGTGTTTTTCCTATTCGTTTAAATTTTATTTTTTGACAATTGCACGTGACAGCGCGAGTTACATTCTGTATTAGACAAATTAATTAACGGTATCGTAACAAAGGCAGGTGACATGATTCGGATATGGAAATAATTGCATAACTGTTCAAATCCTATCGTAATTCGCGCTAAAGGCTTTCTCACAAATAAATTACTCGCTTTCAAAACAACTAGCAACTCCCGAAATGAGAAATCACAAAAAGATTCACAATATGCTATGCTAAATTAAATACTTTAACAGAGACAGATTTATTGTTTTTTCAGTCGGAAAACAAGCATTGCAACAATGAGAAAAATATACAAAATCCACAATGTTATTCGATATAACCTTAATGCGCGCTTATAGTCGTCATAATTACTAACAGGTAATCATCAAACTTACATACATAGGCGCATGGGAAACCTAAAACGGTCTGGTAAATAGATATCTGATAATAATCAATCAATCAACATGATTTTTACTTCCTGCAACACAAACGAAATAATTGAAGTAGTGCCGGAAAGTGGGGCAGAGGTGTGGTATACAGTCGGCTAATAAAGCAGCAACATCAAGCCTACAAGAGTATTAATTTCACATTGATTTTGTCATTGTCCTGCTTGTGACTCGTCCATTCAATATACGCATGCCTCTAATGGCGGAAAAAACCTTTACAGAACAAGAGTTACGAGAACCACACAATCACAGCGGAGGCTATCTCATCTTGTTTCCTCACTTATATATGTATTGTTATGCTGATTATGGAGTCGAAATAAACTTATACTATTATTATACTTATATATTTTAGCGACACCCAGAATCCAAATCTATCAGCTGCCTAGACTTTTTACCAAGACATGTTTTCTCACTTCGATCGATCGAAGAATCGATTCAATGTTGCGGTTTGGTTTTTCCGTTAGAAATTGTCTTCTCTGTTACGTTAACTTACTGGTAGATATAAATCAATTAAGCGTTCTATTCGTTATCCAGAGAAGTCGAAATACGACACCGAAAGGCGGATTGTAAATTAAAATTAGTTCTCTGTTCCTAATTATCGCTGTTGTTCAAATTGCTTGTGACAACTTTTTATAAAGGCGGAGGGTCAGTTTCCATAAGCTAAAACTTCTCATAACTGAATTGAGCATTGATTTCTGGCAACAAATAGTCGAACTTAGTTCAATGGCCCGGAAAGCTTTCATTGTTAACTTACAAGATATGAACTCTTACGCAACAATCAAAATTTTGTCCTCGTCAGGAGACCCCTTTTAACTGCGCAAATTTTCCGGGCAGATTGTGTGCTAAACGTGTTCTTCTTTTGTATTAGTTTTGTTTATAAACGAAATAATTCAGCCGTGAGTAGTTCCACTGTTACCGCAGTACTGAGAAGGGTACCGTAATAACGTAAGGCAGTATCGGGCTGAAAATTATTTGTTATTCGATGCATTTGAGTAGTTAGAAGTTGAATGCGCGCGATAGCCTAATTGCTGCAGCGCTGGATCAATTACGCTGGCATGATTTCGAATAGGACAAGCTGTGCCGGATTCTCAAACCTTACGTATTAGTTGATGCTTGTACAAAGACATATGAAAGCGTGAAAACAGGGTCGGCCTCAGGTCACCAGAACCAATGCGACCGAAGTAGACACGTTATTTCTAGTTGGACACGTAGTGGACATAACGATCGTTTCAATATTATGTTGGTCTTGTTGTTGTTGTTGTTCTTTGACACTTTTTGGACATCTAGTGGAAATTCTAAAAAATCGCTTTCCTCTTTCATTACTGGACCGATTGCTTCGAAATTTTTACTGGTTAAAGATGAAATTTTTCTCCAGAAGGCTATCTGTTAGCTCTGTGAGATTTGTTTTTGTTTGCTATGACGTCACCGAACGTCAGTGAGCCCGCCATTTGTCACAAAGAAGAATTGGATATGTTGATTATCAATTGCGATGAATAAACCTGGAATTCTTACTTATTATTGACCTCCAATGAAGGTCAGCGGCTTACGTCTTGTCTTGAAATAAGGTCAGTAATTTCAAATCTTTCTTCGTGCTATAGGCTAACTGTTTTCATACTATAGTAGTCCTTACCTATATTGTTGGATACCAGTGACTGCGTGTGTATGGTCTTGTTCGGATAGAAAGGCGTGGACTAGCATCCTATAAAAAGATGATTTCAGAATTTCAAATGTCATTTAAATTTGATGCTTAGTATATCCACACCCCACAGCTATGTATCCATCGCATTGCGAGCGTAATATGACTTAGCCTGGCAGGGAAAATATTTCAGCTAATTCCTTTTTCTCTGTAAAATTGTTATCGTTAATCAGACAAGTCTTCATAAATCATATTTATTTGTACAATAGATGACGAAATAATGCAGGCTTCAAGTTTTATAGATGACATAATGAGGTGTAATTTCGGTGACAGTAAACTTGAACCCACGTACATTTGAACCCATACATTTGCACCCGTATATCCGCGAGTTCAATCTATATGAGGATGCTAAAATCCATGTGTTATGGTTCGTATGGGTTCAAATATTCGTACGAAAAAAAAATTTCATAGTTGCAATAGTATGCAGGTGCAATTGTCGTGGGTTCAAATTACGGGTTCAAATGTACGTGGGTTCAAATGTAAGAGAACCGTTATTTCACGTCGCTATTTGACATTTCAAAATCGTTTACGATTTTTTTCGTTTGTTTCGATTTTTTCTGTGATAAATATCCACCAGTATTAAATTGTTGACTACAGAATAGCGTCGATTACTCGACGTAAATAGGATTCTTAAGTGTAGATAGCTTGTTAACGCACAGCAAAATTAAAATGGGCAAAATACTTTATAGCGTCGATTACTCGACGTAAATAGGATTCTTAAGTGTAGATAGCTTGTTAACGCACAGCAAAATTAAAATGGGCAAAATACTTTATATGTCTATAACAATTACGCTCTTAGAAAGATCCAATGATTTAAAAAAGTCGAGTTTGCGATCACGTGTCGACTTTTGGTTAAATTCGTGGTTTCTCATGAAATGGATGAATACACTTTATTTCTTGAGGTTCAAAATTGAAGAATAATAACGAGCATTTGTAACCGTCTAGTCGCTATAACATAGACGTGTCGAATGTTATTCGGAGTCGTATTTTGAATTTGTTGACGTCGAAATAGTTACTTTGTTGGAGTGGGAATTTTACGTTTTTTTTTATAAGTACAAGTTCGCTCCTGAAACTAATAAGCTTTCTCATGCAGAGCGTTAAGATAGGCGGCGGTTTTTAGAAGGGCTCAGAGTTTAGTGTGGGATATTCCGACTTCATGATCCTGCTTAGTCACACCAGAAGTCCAATATTAGTAATGGCAATGTCAATACAAAATATATCGTTTGTGAAAAAGAGCTAATACGTTAGTATGGCGGTATGGCATCCACGATGTCACTAAAACAAGTATATTTCTCCAAGTGTTTTACTAAGTTTTCCGTTCAGTGACTTAATAATGAAGTTTTTCCACAATGAAAATAAGCTCGGAGAGAGTTACATCATAATCATTTTTCACAATGCAGATTGTGACGTCATACACCGGCGCGTTTAGACAATGGTTGAAATATAAAATAAACGAAAATAAAAAAAAAGTGTTGGTATGTTTCTATACAATATAATAGGAGAATTTTAATAGTTCAGGAAACAATAAGACAACTACAAATGTGTCATTAGTATGCAAATGGGCACGAACAATATCTAAGGCATTATGTTTACACTGGGATTTTCTTCTCCCTTTTCATATATTCTAAAATTACTACGTATTATAGTAACGTTTGTTGTACTGATCTTCTGGGATTAGGGTTTAGATTCTAGACAGGGCAAAGTTTTGTCATATAGAATCATATGGGTATGTGAATATTGTGTTATGTGGACAACTTGCACGTTGATTAATTAAACATGTTTGAGGCTTTGGAAAAGTTTCTGTGTATGTCAGTAAAGAGTCTTGCACCAATATGGCGCTTTCTGCTTCCATAAACGTATTTATTTAAAAATTTCCTCAAGTTTACGGAAATTTTAGACCTGAATATAACTCTATTTATTCTGTTGGAGGCCCTTCTCGCATATTAGACGATTCGTCGTGGTAAGGAAATGGCCCATCATATGGTGATGACACGAATTCGGTATCGTCAACTATGTCGTCATTATCATCACTAGCTTCGACGACATTACTGTCGTAAATGTCCAGCATGACGTCATGCACTGCGTCATTCAAAAAGTTGTTGCCCGGTGCTTCTTCTAGTGGGGGTTCCTCTTTTTGAGAATCCTTATGCTGATCTTCATGGGAGTCTTCTGTGCCATATGTATGTACCTCCCAGATAAAATTATTTAACCCCTTCTCGTCAACAGAGCCCATTTCATCGTTGTCGTCACTCGGTTCAGATGCGGTAATTTCGTGACTTTTAGGATACCTAAAAGGATTTTCTTCAGAGGGTAAGGGTTCGTAGATCGGATCTCGTCCTTTCTCTGAGGCATACGGTGATCCGTACGGCTGGCCTTTAGGTACGTACGTGTCTGGTTTATAGTTAGGAGTCCAGAACGAAACACTCGGTTTTATGCTAATTTCCGGCAATCCAAATGTACCATGTTTCGGGTATGGATAGTCTTGGTTAGATGTATCATATAGGTTGATTTGGAGAGATGCGACCGGGACCCCTCTTGGGCGATGTTGCTTTGGTTTCTCCGGTAGATGTCGCTCACGAGAAAATTTTTGAAACACTTCTTTGTATAGCGAAAGCCGTGACTCTTCACTCGGTTTTGCTTCGGTCAATGATAATCGCATTCCATTAGTCAAGCACCAGAAAAAGCATTTAAGTCCTTTAACTCCGCCTGAGAAAATGAAAAATGGTTAAATGTGGGAAATAGAGAAAACTATTTGAAGAATTTATCATAAATATTATTTCGAATTTACTAGTTAAAGTTTGAGGCACAACGCGTGGATTTTACATTGATAAAAGAAAAAAGCCTCTTAAAAGATATAAATGACCTTCTCATTCAAATCAAATCTTCTTTTATTACTGCCATACTATCATTTTTTCTAATTTACTTGTTGGCCTAACTATGTCGGCATCGCATGTTGGAAATTTTTTATCTTGGCTCAATTTCAGTGGTCAGATTCCGCATTTTCCACAGTAAGTGGTAAGTTAGGTATGATATGCCAACGCGAAGTCTTCATTTTCGTGCCAAATCTACGTAACTGCTACGTCACAGTGGTTGATTTGGGGATTTGTTTGAAGTAATTTCGGAAATACAATTCCAGTTGTGAAGTGCTACATCTACTTACCTTCGTGTAACCAGCACATGTTCTGTCCTCCACCGCATTTTTCAAGTAGACCAAGCGCATTTATTCCAGCAGTTTTTCCTGCCTTCGTCATGCATTCAGCAAATGATACTAGAATAAATAGATTTGAAATTAATTGGAGGAGCTATTAAGGCCAAATAACCGATGAAGCATTATTGAGAAATATTGATTCAAAGATTCAAGTAATTTGCAAATTTCGTTAATTTATTACAAAACACAAATTACTTTTATCGCTGGATGTAACCCACAAACTTATTGGGAGATGGAATTTAATATAAATATATTGCGGTATTAGTTTGGTGGGCTTAAAACTTGTATTTATGCCACTATCCAAGCCGGCAACCACAAAAATTTGAAATTGGTCAAGTCTTTACCCAGTAGCACCATATCATTTCCGTAATATCGGCCAATTTTGCCACAAATTGTTTTGGAAATTTTAATATATATTAACGCAACAGACATATTCCTGGAAATTTTTAGATGGCTCTTCTGATAGCAGAGAATTTAATAACAATTTACAGCAATTTGGGTAAATATAAAATTGCGTCATTCCCAATTTTGCATTTTAATTTATTGTGTCGGTAGATGTCACAGGTATATCTTTGGAGCGAGGGGCCATTTCAGACAACTTTTGCTTGAGAGTAAACACGCTTAGAATATCAGTAGATGACACGCGAAAGAGTTATTAACCGTGAAATAGGATAGGGTAATGTCGGAGTTTTGGACGATGGTGTAAATTTAGATTTCATTAGCGTTTCGCGTGCCAAATTAGAAAAATGTCAATGGCTGATGTATTATTAAAAGTAATGGAGTCCTCCATTGTGCTGAATATACCTTCTTCATAGTTAACGACTAGAAGGTTAGTGCTAGTTCATCGCAACTGCTCTAAATTTCTCTCCACTCATATCGTTCAAATAGAAATATTTATTAAAATAATCATTTTTGTATTCTTACTCCCTTCAAACTAGTGCGCATATTCATGAGTTTAAACCTTATTTCAATAAAATTTGAGAAAACAAATATTTCAACACCATCTGTCTGTTATAAAAAAAATGGCGAATATAAAAGTTCGTTAAATCATTTAAAACCGACGCGGACCCCAAAACCATGATTGGAAATCCAGATGTGTCGTCAATATTGCAGGCTGAAATCACAGCGATCTGAGCTTACCTTTGAATAGCGGATGCACTCTCAAAGCTTTGTCAATTGAGCTTGCCGAATAATCACAATATGGCCCCAAATATTCACTAGAGCAGTTGCATATTTTTCCACTTCCAGTCGTCACACAAGTTCCATCGTTCACACATTGAATATGGGTGGAACATTCGTACGGACCAATGCTGTTCTCAGAGTATTGTTGTGTCCTGGCAAAATAAATATTAGAACGTTTTTACCTTGGTATTCAATGTTTGGTGCAAAAAAGCATACTTGACTGACAATATTTGGACTTAGTAGAGTGGTCAGTTTCTGATAAGGGCTCTAATAGAATAACGAATTTTTAGTATAGCAGAGTTATATGTCTCTCGAGCTGATGCGTCACGGAATAGGCGTCACTTTGCGTCCCATAATTCGAAAGTAAATAACAATACAAAAATAGTCACCTCCATTAAAATATGCCATAACAGCTTTAAAATAAGTCAAGTCATTAGAACAATATTATGTTAACATTAGGGCACAATATGTTTTGACATGCTTGGGTTCCAGACGTTTATTTATTCATCTTATCTTCAACACGTTATGAATGTTAGGATATTAAATTGAATTCTGATAGTTGGGCTAAATGTTTTGATGAGAGAAAATTAGCTTTTACATCTTCAAAGAAATTATTGGAAATTTTATTGTCTGCTCCCTTTTGACCTTTACAAAAAATCTAAATTTAAGTCTGAGAAATGTTTGTCTGTCTCAACTCGTTTACTAGCACCATACACAACCCTACATAAGTTATCAAAATTCCAACATTATATAAATTAAACCATTAATTGGTTAAAAAGAGCTTCGTAGTTGAATGCGTACTTTCCCGATCGAGCCAAAATTGGTCACTTTTTATAGCTAAAATATACAGGGTAGTGATGAGAGTACTCCAAAGTATTTAATATTTATTGATAATTAATGCCACCTTGTATATCATGCTAATTGACACAAAATTGCATTTTTGTTGAACTTGTTTAAATGTTAAAAATGACTCACAAAGTAAATTTAGAACAACAATTTCGCATGAAGTATAATCGCGTAATCGTTATAGTTCATCTTGGAATCTGTCATTTCGATTTAATATAGTGGTTTAACGATAAACAATATTTCATCGCAGTATCTACTATTTAGAAATTTGCGAGATATAGTGCGTAGTTTTTAAAGTCGAACTGTGTAATAGCTGTCTATCACTTACTTTCTGTCCCCGTTTATCTAGAAATCCGTCAATTTCTGACGCTACCCGTTCAACACCGAGGTTATTTTACACACTGTTTTAAAAACTTGCGGTATAGATTGTGTATTTTTGAGGCAAAAAATTCATTTAAATTTGGACATTAACCTTAACAATTTACAATAAAAATTAATATATCGCCGTGACAGTGCACACCTTGCCACTCTCCTAATCTGTATAACGTGATGCTTTTGTTTCCATTTTTAGAAGTTATTGTGTTGTTACCAATATACAGAGCTAACCTCACGTGTGCTTAGTGTATATTTATTCAGGTACCACGCACCCAACTTATTTAATAAATAACTAAGAAAAATTTGATTTAAATTTTTAATAGGACGCTTTTCGCTACGAACGAACCCTTATACACAGTATAGTATATTGTTAGATATTAGCACCGTGTGTGTAAAATATTTCTCCCGATTTTATAAAAGAAACAATGAAAAATATCTTCGTCTTTGTTTATTAATAGTTCTTAATGGTCTTGTAGTTTTCATTTAACATACAATAAAATTCATTCAAACTTACAATTGTTATTACTATAAAATCGGCCGAAATATAATGGACACCCAGGGGCGGACACTTTCCATAATTTTGGGTGGGCGAACTTGGATCGCCTACCAAAAAACACCGCGCCGTGTATCGTCACGTAACAATAACCTGTCATGTAATTCTCTAAGTATTAGAATGTCATTTTGTTACTCATTTATCGAGGCTGATTTGCTTAGACACGGAACTTGCGCGTCACTGAACCAGTTTCTTGAATTTCGCGAGAATTAGCCCACGGCTCTTGCTAACAAACAGAAAATAAAAAATTTGAGGAGTCGTATTAGGTTATTGTTTCAATTCCTAGTTCTGCATAAAGCGCACTAACGCCGTTTCGTAAAATTAGAAATGCAAAACAAGGTAACAAGCTATTGTGCGATTTTTTTTTCTCAATTTTACCAAGGAATTATCATTTGACTAGTAGAATTGCCATTATTGCCGATTTATTAAATCAACATTTGAACTCGAAATAACATTCAGGATTCACGCAATGACTTTGCACAGGCACAAGTTCCGGCGCGCAGCCAGGATTTTAAAAAAAAGTGGTGATGGGGGGGGGGGGGGGGGGGTCAAAGTCGGAACTTCCCATTTCCGTCTGCAACAAGCACCGCGATTACACGCTGGGTAAAAGAGCCGCCTATTTGAGCGTATGATTTTTCTGTCCCGTAAAATATTCAATCCATGACAGCCACAAGATTCTGAAATGTCCTTATATATTAATTTAATTGTCTGCAACGTAACTTGCGGTTGCGACCTATTACGTCAAAATAAAAATATTACTAAGCCAAAGTACCACGGCGATATGTGTTATAAAAATCTCGATATCTGATATAAAATCCCATATAGTACAATTTTACTTCATACAATGAAAATAATTATAAACTATACTAGTAAATCAAAAATACAAATTCACCGCCTCGAAATCCACGCGGAACAGTCGCCGCCATTACGCCACTTGTTAAAAGAGCCGACTTTTTCAACGAAAAATGATTTTTCACTTGTGCAAAGTAATCAATCAAAGACCGATACGGGCATCTTCAAAATGTCTTGATTTATTAATTTAATTGTCTTCAATTTAAACTGCGGTCAATTTAAACAGTCAACAAACCGCGGACATAAAAATGTGTGGTAAACTGACCGTTTATATATTGTTTTGATCCGTATTTTTGCTAGTTTGCGAATTCGATGAATTTGAGATGTACTTGTGACACTGGCTCCGCTCAATCGCAATGTTGTCACTCCGATTATTTTTGAAGATAAAACTGTTCGAAAAATCCGTGAATTTTCTGTCAATTCTCACGTAGTAAAAGTTATTTCAGTACAATAAAAATACATAAAAAAATACAAAAATTGATCGAATATACTTTAATTATCTTTTATATCATCACAAACCGATGAAAAGTCGCGTTCTCAGCTTTGTTTAATGTTTATACGTAAATTTTCGACGTCAATTTAAAAGTAATGGATAAAAAGGCAAATCCCGCTCACAATTGACCGTGTTTCGACTTTAGTGAAGAAATGTTTTTAAAGGTCAAGCAAACATAATTTGCGATTTTCGATGACTAGAAAAGCGTTTTTAGACTGTCGCGGGCCTCAACAAAACTTATATTATTTACAGTTTTATTTTTAGTGTTTTCATATTGCCGCTTTTCAACTTATGAATACTTATTAGAATTCTCGCCGGGTTCATAAGTCCGTGCTTGTACGAAAATAAAATAATTATCATAGTCATCGTTACACAAGTTTGTGGAAAATTTGTGATTTAGATAGGATAAACGCCAACGTAAAGGCGTTTACGACCTAAATAATAGGTCACAATGATGAAAACAATCAGCGATTTTAGCAAAAGGCAATTGCACGCGTTATGGGCGACGTTTTCAGTTTTCAAAAAAATTCAGAAGGATATCTTTTTTAGATAGTTTCTGTAGTCTGAAAATTCGAATAGGCGTTTCGACATAGTAAATGCTTTGATCTTTGCCCGCGAATTATGCTGGGCCTTGCACAAAATCCATAACGTGAAAAGATAAGTCCAGCGGTGAAAATTGTTTATAACAACTTTAGATCTAGTTAATTTTTTAGCGATAATAATAATTGTTGTAATGAAATACAGTTTGCCTCTTTCACTTCTCTCGCAAGTGCCAACAATAACACTATTGAAAAATTTTGACAATGAGAAAACCATATTAAATTGTACAAAAATGAATAAGTTGTGCAAAACCGTGGCGCGTGATCGGCGGTGCGTTTGAAGACGGAGTATTACCCGTGCGGGCGCGCATGTTTCACGAAAATGTGAGGTGCTCCGAATTCGCTATGGTCCACATTATTGTAAGAAAACAGTTATAATATCGGTAACCGTTTAACTGCGCTTGACTATCGCACTTTTCGGAAATGATGATTTTGTAAGGCGTAAACAACATGTAATAAAATTTTTAGCGAAATTATTGGGGGGGGGCGACCGCCCCCCTTCGCCCCCGGGTGTCCGTCCCTGGACACACCGTATATAAACAGCCGCAAATATCTAAGACTATACTACTACAGCAAGCTACTTTTATTTGTAAGGACCGGAATCTTGTTGTCAATTGGAATTGTCAGCTTTGCGTTGTATTAAACAGGTGTGAAATCCTGTAATATCAGTATTCGGATTTGAGCAATTCTGATTGGGCGAGAAAAGTCACTTTGCACAGGGTTCAACCGTACAAATGAATTAAAACTTTGTTGTTCGAGTTTACGTAATGTTTTGTAATATTTACATTTTATATGATAATGTAATTATATTTTTTATACAATTTATGTTAGAAATTGACGCGAGATCAAAATTCCAGAAAAATATGAATTGAATTCAAACAAAATACCGGTAATGTCATCACGACTAATTGACATGAATAGCCAAGGAATCCAAATTTCCGGAAGTGTTTGATTACTCTACTTCCAGCTACATATAGTTTATATAACAGAAACTGAAGCCAGACGCTCATTATCATTACTATAACGACTTTTACCGTGAATCATTCTTCAATAAACTCTAAAATTATTTCAGTTATTTTTAATTAACGTATATTTCTTAGTGTGAAAAGCGTTACGTTGTAAGAAAGGCGGTATGAACAGCATGTTTGTTTTCAATTACTGTTAAATTCGAATGAAATTTACAAAAATGTAACGCTTCGTCGTGTCAATTACAATTTACATTATTGCTAAGTAGTTATTAACAAATAGGTAGTAAGTTGGACGACTTTATTTACATTTGCATATATTTGGAACACGATTTCCAAAAGTTGTTTTGTTATTCGTCCTACTGACCTATAATAAAGGTCAGATCTCTCAATTTTGGCTCAACTTTATTTTAATTTTTTCAAATATTCAGAAATCGTTTTGTCAATTTCCTGATCGCAATGAAATATTGCGTCACGGGACAAATATCCATAAGATTTAGTATCACAACATTTTTCTTTTGTAATGTTACAGTCTGAGTGGTTGCACAATTAAAAAAAACACATAAATGTATAGTTTTTTGTGTATCAAAACATAATCTTTTGTTTTGAGTTCAAATCTACCGTTAATTTATTATTTATATATCCCGCCCAATGTTTTCACTCCCGTAATTTTTCTAAATTTGGGTATATATAAATATGGTATATATAAATTCCTAATATGGTATCCAATCCCGAAATTCTCATATTGTAGTTAGACGTAAGAGTGCTTCAAAATAACATTGGGCCAAGTTTTGTGCTTGAAAATATAATTTAGTGCTTATGTAAAAGCTCGTGAAGTTGTATTTTGTTGAAGCATTTATTGAACTATCAGTTGAAATTTACTGATATCGCGGTTTCGATACAGTCGTTAACGATGGATGATAAGATCGCATTTTTGATAAATTTAAGATTTAATCGCAGATCTCCATGAAATTCGGTCTAATAAACGTTCATAACAACTTTTGATGTGTCTGTTATTTTTGAATGAATTAATCATTAGTTGCTACTTTATCGTCGAAAAAACTACACCATTTTTTATGCGAAGCAAAATGGATAATGATACCGCAAAAAGAAAAACAGACATTCAGAGAGTATTTTTGAATGAGTCGACTGAATTGCGCCACAGGGAGGTCCGTATGGCGCACTTCAACAGCCTATGACCTAGTAGTTAGGAATTCGACTTAAATCCACTGGCATCGCAATTTGGAGTTGTCAAATTGTTTCCCCAATGCCAACGATCCCGCCTCCTTGCCCAGTGTATAATAATATCTGTATATGCGGAACAGGAAAGATCCCTGAAATTCTGAAAATAAGATAGCTGCTATATTCTCTTCATTGGCTGCATGGGGTGTTATGATTTATAGCGCTGAAAGGGAGGGGTTATGAGTTAAAGTTGGCGTTAGTAAATGCAAAATCAAATTAATGGGATTGAAAACAAATTATCTGATCCTAATTTAATCAAAGGTGTTGGAAAACGGATACGCTATTTGATTTATGATTTTGAAAACCTTTTCTTCTATTCTAAAAATTCCACCATTTTTAATATTTGCACCACTTTTGCGATCACCAGAGGAAACTTTTGAATTTTATGCCAAAAGTTTTTTCAAGAACTTCATTTATGTGGAATTCACTGCGGCGTGGTTGTGTTACTGGTCGGGTTGGTTTAGGTTTCATACTCATTGCCGCGTAATTCTTTTTAGTTTGAGTAGCGCATGGTACTTTAATTCATTATCTCACAGTTGTTTTCCTGACTTGATTGACCTGAAGTTGATTTCAAATTAAACAAGTCTCACGTAAATCTGTACCTGATAACGCGTAATACACCGTTAGTTTTTTAGTTTGAATAGCCCATGACAGTATACTCAGTGGCAGCATGACGAAAATAAATATCTGAGTCTGAATCTTCTTTGAGCAAATTTTATTATAAATGTAAGAATGTTGAAAAATGCTATTGAAAATAGTTGCCCCCCCCCCCCCTCCAGAGACGATTAGCGTCATCGCCGTCATTATTAAAATTTCTTATCGCTTCCTATCGCTGAGTGCATCCTCACCCGAAGTGAGTCCTCGAAGAAATCCTAATAACAGTTATGGCAAAGGGAACGTTTCTATTTATTTTATTGTGGCCATTGGATATAAGTACAAACTGAGCATACTCGTGTGTCTTTTATTATTTAGATTAGATATAATCCAGTCGAACAACTATATTTTTTCTCGAATAAAATTTTGATTTAAATGCAAGTCTATTTTTTACAGATACTTGATTTTAATAAAAAACGCATTAGCTTACTGGTATTTATTAATCTTCGCGATATCAATTTTTATTTGCAATAGTCAATTTTATGAGCTTTCAAAATTACTTGGAAATATTTATTTCAAAACCGCCAATTTAATGGATCTTACGTTCAAAGCAAAAAACAAACTTTTTTAACCAAATATATTTTGTACATTTTTAATATTGAATTCAATACTAATATGCTTCTATATTGCAATGGCAATACTATACATCGATGTAACTCTAGATTCTTATTTTTCTAGATATTTGGTACTGAATTGCGTTTATGAATGTCAGAATATTCCAAATTTCAGTGTAATATATATTTCACCAATAATTTGTAAAGCGAAACTATTGTACCAAGTTATTGCTCGTGCATATTATTACAATACCAGCGGAACTTGATCGTCTAATTATGTAGGTATTTCCTGAAACTACAGACGCAAAGGAAGTTCATAAGCTGAAGTTTCAAAAATATTTTATATCGCGGAAGCTTTTATATTTGACCAATGAGTTTTTCCATTACCGCCGTTTTGTATTGTTCATATTTGTTTGGCTATTTTATAACAGTCTCACATATACAAATAAGAACAAAAGAATAATCCTCAAATATGTGGACGAAAAAATCGAATAAGGATTAATATCGTTACCGCGATGTCAGCAAAATGTTAAAATGATTATACTATTTGATGGTGTGCGCGGATGATTAAAAATCAAAATTTGGGATAAATATGGAGTCCTATGTAGAACTCGGAGAAAGTTTGTAAAAGTAATAGCCATTTGGCAGCTCTCCCATACTTAGGTACAGAAAATTCAAAATTGAATGGTCTATCAATTGTGTCGAAATGAAGTATTTTTCACAACGCAACAACAAATTTAGCAAACCGACTCGCAGACCGATTCTGCGTCCAATTAATGCGGTAGTGCTTAAGTGCATGCGATAGTGCTTTTTTCTGATCGGAACCAAGTGAAAATATTAATCCTTTTGACTTAGCTATAAATTTGAAGATTTATATGTTATTTTTGATATCTGTATTAGTTCAATGTCTATTTTGAAATTGAATTCAGTTAGAAATTTCCCAACAAATAAATGAAATTTCATTCGTTTCCCAGTAAACTTAATATTTCTCCAAACTCGTAGAAAATTATTTCTTCAAAATACTTTATTTGAAAATTAAAAACGCCACAAAATTTGACCAAACGTAGCAAGTTCAAGATTTGTTACTAAACTATCTGGTATTTGATTTGTTTTATGAGCAATGGGAAAAAAATATTATGAAAAAAACTTTATTTGATACTTACAGTCTCGGATCTATCTCGTTTTCTTCTTCATATTCTTTTGTTTCTTCTAATTTTCTTTGTTCATGGAATTCTGTGGCATCTTCCTCCAATCCAAGCATGCTTCCTGGGTTGTAGGGGGGATTTCCCGATATTGTCGTAACATAGATTAACGCAAGAAACGCAGCAAGTAAATGTTCCATTCTGACGGTATATTTTTCGATTCAGTTCTATTGTAATGTCTTTTATGTAAATTTCAGAAATAAGTATATATCTTTAGATGTTATTTATAACCAATAGCTATTGCTTTGATGTATAAAAAGTATTTTTTGAACGCAGCTAGTGATGTATAAAGATCAGTCTTCAATTCCCAAATTGATGCTTTGATGCTGTGTATTTGTCCTTTTTGGAAATCATTCGAGGTTTGGACGTACGGGATATTCGATCACTCTTGCCGTTTATTATTTCCTGTATTGCCGCAAAATTACTGATATATCCCCGGTCTCATCGATGCAAGCAATAAGCGATCTACGCGGGTTTATAAGTAACTCTCTCGTCTGAAATGAAATGAACGTTGTTTAAAAAGGCTTCTCTATAACTTTTACAGTTAATAAAAATCAAATAATGTTCCCTCCCGTTTACGGGGCACGTGTTTTGTCTCAACGCGTGTTGTCGAAACTTCTCTTATAAGTTGAATAAACAATATGGCGCTCTGGTGAATCGCTAACTATCGATTATTTTCTTAATACTTGCTTAATGCTAATTTTGGATCACATGCAACATACGCGATCCTAATCTATTAAAATCGAGCATTGCTATTGCTCAAATCTTAAAATTTTTATCAAGCATTATAGATGCATTTCACAGCTTCCAAAAAATTCAAATGAAAGCGTCTATTTGCTCTTTCTAAATGAAATAATGAAAGTAATAATGAAAATGTTATAAAATCCATGTAAACCACTTTATATCACATTGTTCTAATTCAATTCTACAATGAAAGCATTTGAATATTTAGACCCAACAGTCTTGAATCCAACACTAAAAATGTCTTCGTTTCTATTCAACAGATATAAACAAATGACAAATCAAACGAATCGACTGAGATAAAAAAAAAATTGCTCGTATTTCAAAAAGAAAAAAAGGCAAAACCTGTTATTAAATACCTGGAATAGTAGTTAGATAAATGGCGCTATGGTTTATGCAAAAAGCTTCAATTAAAGTCACAAGCTTTCAAAAACAATTGTGGCTGGCTTCCATTTTTGGAAAGTTCTATTCCAGATAATAACGCCAGCGTCATATCTGTCAAAGTTTTTACAGATGAATTGACTCGCACTTTGGGTACATTTTACAGAAAGACAGTGACATACAAAATGGTTTTTCTAGTATTTAATGCATGACTAGCGATTCAAATAACACCTATTTATAATATGAACCCCTTATATCGATATTAAAAAGTTACAAAACGATGTTTTAAAACAATTTAATTCAAATTGAAAATAAAAACTACTCGATCAGCTTGTGATAACATAAGTCATGAATGAACGGCTTTGAGGCCGCGGCGTTGGTATTTTTATTGACTCGGAGAAGGAAATCGGATGGACCGTTACTCAACGGCCATAGAATTTGAAAAAAAAATCGGTGATTTTTAACAAATCATCCAGAGAACAATTTATTACTAGCAGAAAGTGAGAGAGTGTGTGCAACGTAACCTACAACTATCTGTTAAAATGAAAAAATGTATGTAATGACTGCGCGTATCATGGGGTGCGTTGTATCTGATAGGATTCATGTTTCTTTTAGTCAATTCTCACTTTTCCCTAATCGCAATATATCGTTTAAAATCAAAATTATAGTTACATTTATGAACAATTTTTGATCAAATTCCGATAAACAAACTTAACGATTGTGTAAGAGAAATGAATCTAATTTGTTTTTAATCAACTGATGTTATGTCATGCTATAAAAGTCGTGCATTCGAGTTGAAAAAAACAAACAGAATGGGGGAATTCGTTTCAAGATTTTACCATTAGTCAGAAGTGCAAAATAGGTAGATAAAAATGATATTTTACTCACTATTTCTTGGCCTTGCAGAAATTCCCACCATAAAGGGATTTTCTACAATTGAAACACACTAGACAGCGTGACTGGTTTATTTCGCAAATTTTTAAGAAAATTTATAACAAGTTTTTGAGATATTCTGTTTTCATAACGGTCATACGCCAAATATATATTTGTGTGACGTCTAATAAACACGTTATGACGTTAAATTAGGTCGTATAGGGCAAGGGAATCTACTAGTTGGCTGTTAAAACCACAAAGCCAGACATAACTAATGAATGTGATCATTGTCAGCGGAAATAAAGTGTTCCAAATATAATTATTTTTAGTTTAGATTTTTAACTAAAACATGGGAAAGTCTGCAGGTGCTTGCACGATAAGTAGTAGCAGACTGCCAAAATCTTTTCTGTTCAAACAGACATCGAATCGTAAACTGCGTAAGAGTTCTTAAGTTCCCAAGACCTGGTTAGCTTGTGCTTATGCCCACCACACCACCAAGGGTGTGAGTGACCGAGTGGACTGAACTGAACTAGATTTATCCTGGCTCTTGAACATTTTAGTTGTTCTATCTGGCAACAACTAGATAGGATTGGCAAAGTTGGCTGAATTTAAAATTTCAAGCTTAACGGAACAGTGTCAAAGCATTTTTATGAGTCAATTAGCTTATTCTGAATCATATAGCAGAAAATCAAAAATATGTCAGTAATAACCGTAGCGATCCTACATGTAATCGAGAGACTTTAAACTATCGTACTTGTAATATGAGCCGTTTCGTGGAAACATGCCAAACATTCGGAAATTGGTATTCTATCAGCCAATTTATCTTTTATCGTATCACGCTGTGGACATAAACACGTTACGAGCAAATTTTTGTAGCAAAACTTCAACGTATTCGGCATTGAGGAGCAAAGTTGCGTGTTTCTGATTCGCCCCTATTCTCTGATAGCGTACTTGGCAACTGTATCAGTATTACCCCGTTACTCCTCCACCAGGACCACCACTAATTTTTTTCTAATCCGATTTCTTTGATTCTATTTAGGTTAGAATAAGTTATTCAATGACCTTACATATCTTGTACTAACCTAAGATAAGCAAAATCGAAGGAAGCAGATAGAAAATTTGGCGTTGGGACAATATCAGAACAATACATGTGTATGCTTGCCAATCACCATTTGCATGGCTGCTCCGTTGTACTTTTTTGGCATGTACTACAATTCCACTCAATATAATAAGTTAAGCTAGTATATGTCGTATCATATGAAACACAGCCAAATATCTGTTATTTAATTCTGTAAACTATACAATTACATGGAAAAGTTGATTTATTTGAGAAGACTAGAGTAGAACACGTACTGAACTACAATACTTCTAGGCCCTGATGTTTCTTTGAAATTGCGACATAGTTAACAATATCGTTAAACAAAGATTGATTTGTTTTTAAATCTTTTAATACCAAACTCATTTATGAATAACCTCATGTGCATGGCGCACAATTTGGATGCCTCGAATCGGATATTTAACGCTTTCGCTCGTCGTTAAAAATAGAGATCGTCGATCAATAAGATCTAGTCCAACATCTAGCTATACTAAATAAAACCTAAGCCAACAAAATCGGGAGCTTTACAAGCGTAGACTTGCACGATTTACCACACACAATAAACAATTCAAAATAGTTGAAGCTACTTTTTCCGCTCTCTGACACGTTATCGAAAACCGCTTCCAGGCCCTATGTAAATGAGTACGAACGCTATTTCTGAAACAAGGTTTCGCGGTATATCACAAAATTCGAAATATTTACCTATCTGTTTGATCGTTATTATTCATGTATACAGTCGATGTACTATTATATATCTTTTCTGGGCAAAGAAATAGAGTCACAATCATCTGACTCTCGAGTCGAATAAATCACCGAGTCTAGTCTGGGGGTTAGCTGATAAAGAGCTAGAGGGATTCCATTCAATTGACTCGAGTGACTTCGAATCTCTGATAGATGGTGACTCGTCTAACTCGAGCGTCCCAGCGGCCAGAACTACCTCGATTATTTAGTATTGTGACGGTTTATGAGTTAACCGGGATAATATCAGTGGCAGCGAGCAGTGATAACAATAGTAGATGAAGTCGAATAGTCCTCGATTCGTTTATTTCGATTTCTAATATTCTAAAGAGAACCGTAGTGTAATACAAATGAAAAACTAGGGAGGACCGAACAATAATTTCGTTCGCTGCAATTCTTGAAAATCAAATATTTTACAAAAAACAAAGGAGCTTATTCAAATGGCGTCTATAATGGTTGCGTAGCACCTATATTGTTGCACGTTATCAAACGTTCAACCTACCATAACCGTATTCATGCTAGCGGATATTTTGCGTACGAAGTGAAATATAGTAAGTATATAAGGCATTCTAGATACATTTCGTTTAAACAGGTTGGCGTAATATGTGCTATATCGCAAAACCATCTATCATGTGAAAGGTTTTAAGTTTGGCAATGGTGCGTTTTGTTGTTACTAAGAGTCGGTAGGCCATCTTGGCAAGATTGGAAAATCCTGCTTTTTCCAGCACAAATAGACTTTCGTGCACAAACGAATAGTTAATGATAAATATAAGGTAAAGAATAATACCGAAAGTTGTATAATCAAATATTTCGAGACGGCTTTAAAACGTTTTTCCGGAACCCATTAAAAATCTGACAATCTGTCCAAAAATTATTCCCAGTCCAATGTCGAAATTTTCCATCACAGAAATAAATATATAAAAAAAATTGCAAATAAATAAATGGTTGAAATATTTACCGGAAGTAGTCTTGCCAATACGTGAAGGGTGCGTTTCATTTTGCGTGAGAAGATATTAATAGTATTTAAAAATAATTTGGATATAACCGACTCATTCAAATTCATAGCCTGAATGTGGTTTAAAAATAAAATTTCAAGTACGCCTTATAGATTGTACGTATCACCTATTGTGCGTCAATTTCAGCGCACAACGTTCGTTCCGCAATACGTTATAATAATTGATCAGAACCTATGCCAATAAAACGCTATCCGTGAAATAACAAATGAATATATTGGTAAATCTCAACGTAATTACCGTAAAACTGCTAGTGATGATAAGAAAGCTGTTGCTTCGCTTTGTTCAACCGAATTTTTGGGTGATTTGGCTTTTTGGACTGAGTCCTCGTAAGCTAGTAATCAGCAAATAAAACGTCGAATCATATAAATAAGTCATCAATTTCCTCTCTGCAGAAGACGCTATTAAAAAATATTCCAAGGTCTACTACAGAACTTTCGATAAATTGGGGTCACGAAGTTTTTAATTCAATTACGGGTCTCCCTATTACAAATCTTATTTTGAAAGTTTATTCTGAACTTTCGAACTCTGTGATATGCGCGATAAGCTTGTGTTAGTCTGCCAGAGTTTGTTTGGATTATACATAGACTGTTAATTTGGCAAAATCGTGTCGAATAATTTATCTTTCAATC